AGTCCAATAATTGGAATCACCTTTTATTTATTTTTCTTTGTAATTAGGAAGGTAATGTTACTTTAGATGTGTAATTTTTGGGAATAATAAACCATTGTGAAATAAGTTGCAGCGTTTTTATTTATCACATAATGACACATGCAGGAAATAAAATAAATTATTAAAAAAATTTTAGTAAAGTATGAAAAAATATTTTTATGTGTAGATGAATAGAATTTGTGTTGTTTCTTTTGCACTTTTTTTGTCGAGAGTGAATGAGATTGAGCCATCAGATCTCAGATCTTATATTAAAATATAAGAAAATATTTCCATTATTTCCTTCATAAAACTATGATTGTTACTAGTCCGTGGTACAGACTCCTTTTTATCAAATTATTAACATCCGCCTGAAACTTCGTAAATAGCTTCATCTCATTGTAACCTACAACTATTATATTTACGAAAACTCTTGGAATTTGGGCGTTTTCAATCTGGAGGAGGACAAACTTTGTCTACTTAATTACGTACTAAAAACTCGTAAATACGCATTTCCTTTTCACCTGAATCGTAAAATAATTCGATCACAAAATCTAGAAGAAAAGGTGGCCTTCAAAAATATTGAGCCGTTTGGCATGATCTACACCCCCAAAATATCAAAATAACCAATACTAAACGGCCAAATATGTTTGGAGGCCACATTTTTTCTAGATTTTGTGATCAAATTATCTTACCATCCAAATAAAAAGGAAATGGGTATTGACGAATTTTTAGTACTTAATTAAATAGACAAAGTTTGAAAATGCCCCCTTCCAAATTGAAAACGCCCCAATTTCGAGAATTTTCGTAAATGAAATAGTTGTAGGTTACGATGAGATGAAGCTATTTACGTAGTTTTAGACTGATGATAATAATTTGATAAAAAGGGGTCTGTACCACGGACTGAATATCTATAATTTATCAATTTGAATCCACAATCAATGTATAGTATATATATATATATATATATATATATATATATATATATATATATATATTATATATATATATATATATATATATATATATACAAATAAAATATAATCGGAACGGCCGATTGTTATCTGGATTTCTTCTTCTTCTTCCGGTCGAGAATCACTTTCAATCTCGGAGGCCGTTACACCCGGAAGGCTCGCTGGTGCCATTGACTTGGTTGTCTTATTTTTTGGGAAGGTTTTTCGAAGAAGGTTTAGGTCGATCTGTCCTGCGCAAACCGACCGAATAACGGTCTCCTTTAGACCGCAACAACAAATCATAAAAATCTCAACAGAAGAATTTGTACCATTATTCATCGTTTTCAGGTTTCCTAATATTGTCAGAATGTATTACATATCTGAAATAGTTCTGAGCACTAGCGGATCCAGGATTTAATTTTGGGGAGAGGCTTCAACCCGAAAGCTTTTTTTATTTTTATAAAAATAACGATAATTACTTTGGAAAAAAAGAAAGAAACTATCTGTTTGAAATGGTGTTTAAGTGATTCCTAAAGTCCTTTTAAATGTAATTACACGAACAATAACACTTTAAGACACATTTTTTAAATATTTTTTTCCCTTCGCCGTAAACCAATGACTTGCTGTCCTACAATATCCTTTAATAACACCCCATTTATCCCTGTAGAACAAATCCGCTACCTAGGACTCCACCTGGACAAACGTCTCACTTGGAGTCCTCATACAAGATTGAATCGACAAGAAACAGCTCGACGTTTTCGCTTACTACAACACTTACTGGACAAATACTCTAAACTTCCAATTAATTACAAACGACTCATATACATGATTATAATAAGACTTATGGAGTTGAGCTATGGGGCTCCACTAAACCATCGAATTCCTCTCGTATTCAATCTTTACAATCCAAAATCCTTAATGCTCCTTACTTTGTCACAAATAAAATAATCCATAATGACCTCAATGTTCCTTATGTTTCCGATTTGGCCAAATCCAGATACCTTTCCTTCCATAATAAACTTCATAACCATCCGAATCCTCTTGTTTCTAAGTTTGCTTCCTCTTCGATTCCTGATAACCCTCCGAGGCGTCTGAAAAGAATATGGCCTCGTGATCTCTTCATGTAGACAAATTATTAGAGTGCTACCAATGGGTAGTTTCTTAACAAGCGTGTTTCATGGGATTATGTTCCTCTTATTTATTACATTTACTTGATGTATTCATACTAATACAGTTGTAAATATCATGATAAAACTAAAACTAAAAAAAAAAAAGTTTTTTTCCATAAAACATGGTTATATTTTACCATTTTTTGGAGGGAAGAATTCAGCCGCAAAGCTCCCCTCCCCTCCTGTAGATCCGCCCGTGGTTCTGGTAAAATCCTTATAGACAGAAAGTTTTTTTTTTTTTAATACTTTTTTATTTGTATATAGAAATATTTTTATTGGTGGTAATTAGAAAAATATACTTAATTTTCAATATTTTTATATTTTCAAAGCTTGTATTTTTAAATGAATAATGTTTATTTTTTTTTAGTATTGTCTCCGAAAATAATATTTTTGCACTGGATTGAAGGTGGTTACTGATTAAAGTCGTTTTAAATACCGATCTAATTAGTAAAAAAGTGGTGGAGGTGGGAGGGTAAATTTAAGTGAGGTCACAGGCGGATTTACGGGTGAGAGGCTTTAGGGCTGAAGCCCTCCCCCCAAAATGGTAAAATATAACCTTGTTTCATGGTAAAAAATATTAAAAAATTATGTCTTAAAATATTATTGCTCGTTTAATTACATTTAATAGGACTTTAAGAATCACTTACACACCAATTCATATAGGTAGTGAGTATCTTTCTATTTTCCAAAGAAATGATCGCTATATATATATATATGAAAAAAAAAGCTTCCGGGCTGAAGCCCCCTTCTCCCAAAATTAAATCCTGGATCCGCTAGTGAGTCAGGTGTTTCGCAGTGTCAAACACGTTTGCGCTTCCGTAAGCTGAAATGTAGGATGGAATTGGATAAAATTAATACAGGACCATCCGCACAATCCTTGCAGACTTCATAAAAATCGGATAAATGCTAATATGTAATATGTCCGTTACATCGATTTCACTACAGACGCCGAACCAAATTTGATCTTTAATAGAAAAAAAAACGCGAGTGAAAAACTTCTTGCACGTAAAGTTTCCCATCTTCAGTAATGAGTACTATCGGATTCAGGATTTATTTTTGGGGGGCTTAAGCCCGAAAGATTTTTTTTTCATATATACAATAATTAATTTTAAAAAAAAGAGAGATAGAATTTAACTACCTCCATGAAATGGTGTTTTTAATGATTCTCGAAATCCTATTAAATGTAATTACACGAACAAGAATACTTTAAGAGATAGTTTGTAATATTTTTTTTCTATAAAACATGGTTATATTTTACCATTTTGGGGAGGGCTTCAGCCCGAAAGCCCTCCCCCCTCCCGTATATCCGCCTGTGGTAATGAGGAAGCAAAAGGTTTTTTCGGGTATATTTCCGGTTTTTAAATTTTGTGTATGATGCACAAATCGTTAGAAAACCAGTGAGTTAAAAAGTTTATAACTTACGTATGGCAGCGAATTACTATATATATATATATATATATATATATATATATATATATATATTATATATGTCTGTAACGCCTCTTGACTTATTTGGACTTCTTTCATTAGTCTCCTGCTATCAGCTACGGGGCTGTTATACAGATCGTTTGGTGATGTTATACGATATCCAAAGAACACGTGGTTTATAATAACCGGACGCGATCACTAATCACTCTCTTTTCATTAGGATGGTTGATAACCTTTTGCAGATATCTCCATCCTGTTGTTTTTTACGGGATAGGATTCATGGTCCTGTGCCCAACCCCCAATCTGGAGGAGCAGGAGCTCTGTTGTAAGACACAGGAGTCGCTCACCTTCCTGTGAATCTCTGGGTGGGAACTTACCGTCACCATGCGGGAATCGAATCCGCACCGTTGTGTTCTAAGCAATCGAGTAGGGACTGAACTTATTTATTTTAATTATTTTTATCTTTTTTTTTTTTTTTTTTAAATCCCGCGAACGGGATTTAAACTCGTAGTATAAAATGTTTGCAGTCGCTTTAACTCGCTCGACCACCGCGGTTCCTGCAATAATGTATAAATGGGATATTTGGCTTGGCTCAAGCTTCAATCCTTGTGCTTACAATTGATAATATCTATTTTGGGGAAAAAAATCAAACGAAGCTTACGGAAAAGGACACAAAAAGATATTTGAGATATATAAAAAGATATATTTTTCTTAATTATTTCTTTTTAAAATAAAAATCGATAAGCAAAAATATTTTTGCTCTATCATCTATCTGCTTTATCATTTTTGTATATCATCTAAATTATTACCATATATTTCTTAAACCCAAGCATATCAACACTCCTTCATTTTGTTTTTTATCCAAGAGTTTTATTCACAATATTTCTCCAATTCCTCTTCAGTGCATACTTTTTTTTTCAAGTTTATTTATTATCAGCTAATTTTACACCAATTTTCAAAATTTCAAAAAATGATCTCTATATGTTTAAGTATGTAATGTTTTAAATATGATTGTAAATTGTAAACATTTTTTTAGAATTTAAAATGGCTCAATGAACCGGAACATTGTAATTAGATGTGTAGTCATTAAGTTGACAAAAATTTTAAAACTGGTGTAAAATTATGTGATAATAAATAAACTTGAAAAGATTTTTATGTGTGATAATAATTGGGAAACGTGTAAATGCAATTGTAGAAAATTGCCTTTTGTGTGTCTCACCAATCTTTCTCTTTCTTTTCTGTTTTTAATCCGACTTCACACAAACCTACAGAATGTTGAAAAATTGTAGTTACCAGCTTTTTTATTTTCCTTACCCATTAATTTAGCAATTTTAATAAGAGAGTTAAAAATATGCATCTGAATTGAGTTAAACCAGAACATTGTGTGCTCTTACAACCATATATTCCTTGCTCCATGAGTAATACTAACCTTAATATGTATGGTGTTGCAGATCAGAACCTGCCGCCAGAGAGCGGACAACAGAAGACCTACCTCGGAGCCTTCAGGGTCACCGAAGGAGACAAGTATAGGGGCGAACTGGCTGACCCCGAGACCACTCTCTTCAGCAAGGCAGCCAACAACTACCGGGAGTCGCTCAACCTTTGGCTGCGGAGGAGCAGGCTAAGGCCGGCCTTCATGGGATCTGACATCCTGGCCTTCGATGGGTATGTATTCTCATTCATTGTTTTTGCGTTAAAAATCCTTTTTTCCTTAATTTTTCTTGTTTATCGATACAGTATGGTATCTGAATAAGGACATCTTTGTTTTTACTTTTACTTACCTGTATATGAAAAATATACAATAATGTGATCTTGGAAATATTCAAGTACAAATATTGTTTCTCCGGAGTGATTCTTGATGTCTTCTGTAGGAGAAGGTAATGGAACCGAGTTCCATATTACTTACATCCATGGGTTTTTATTTATCTTGGATTAAATAAGGTGAGAAAAAAAAATCTGGTGTGTCCACTCACACGACTTTCCTACCTATTTCAGAAAAGTTTTTATATCTTTACATATGTCCATCAAGAAAAAAAAAAATTGAATAGATTTATTTTCCTGAAAATTGATCAAAGAAAAGATTTGAGCACAATTTATTTGATAAACTAAAGCAATGTAAAGCGGTTTAAGGTAGATCAGTGTAAAAATTTCAATACCCTCTAATATTGCTGATAAAAAATATTTGCCATAGTTTAATTTTGTCAAACAATAATTTCTGTGAAAAGCAGAGGAAATAGTGAAGCTTGTGTGACGCGGGCAACAGATTTTCTTACTTTCACTTAGTCATCCTTTTACTCCTATTCGCCCCTTTCTGACACCACGATAATCTTAAATTGGAAATTGAATATCTGTATACTTTATTAATAGTTGTCGAAAATTAACGATTTTTATATAGTTTTGTAGGGAATTTCATTGTATTTAAAAAAAAAAAACAGGCTAAACGGTCCTTTTTTTTATTTTTTATTTTTTTTACAAAATAAAAAATACCTTTCAAAATAAAAAAAGAAGAAACAAAATTGGTTCAGTAGTTCCCGAGAAAATCTTGCCACAGACAGACCAATGGCTAAAAATGTGTTATTCGGACTCAAGGGGCTCTGAAATGTATAGATCCGTCAAAAACCGCATATCAGAAATTCGACTCTATCGCAATACTTTCTTTACCTAGTATAGGTAGGAAAGTCAAAAGTAGCCAGTTGCTGCGATTCTGTTTATGACATTCTATCCTCCATCATTACGTATGCATTGAACACTATTACCTGGTTACCCTAACCTTTGCTTTACACTTATCTCCTCCCAATATGCCTGGAAGCACTCTTGGTTGAGAATAGTAGATGGGATTAACAAAGAGATAATAAAGGCAACCGAGATGGGGGTATGCCATTAAGAAAAGCTTTTTGGGAAAGGAAGATGTTCCCAAATCTACAAAATAAATATTTTTAAAAATACTTTCCTTCCAATCCTGACATACTCAAGGGATTCTTGGCACGTGACAAGTAAACATAGAAACAATTCCAAGAGATTGTGATGCACTCCCTCTGCTGGTTGAAGACAAGATAAGGAGAGACTGAGTGAGAAATATCACAATACCATCCAACCTGGATTTGCAGGCTGCGAAGGTTATAATAGCAAAACATCACCTATGATGTTTCGGACATGTTCCTCGAATGCCAGAAGATAGACTAGCATGAGTGAAGTATGAAACGCAGGAGGAGGTAGAAGACCTAGAGGATGATCTTGGAAAACGCGGGAAGGTGAAATAAAGGAAGCCTTTGACAGGAGAGGAATGGATTGGACAAAAAGAAGGCAATAGGTTCAAAATAGAGACTTGTGGATCAGACTCTGAAGACGGAAGGCTCACACTGCTCAATGGTAGAAAAGGATGGATTAAGTTAGTACATTGCCTACATTTTTTTTAACTGAACAAAAAGAATAGTTTTAAGTTAACTTAATATTAATGTTTGATTTTTTATCCATTCCCATTCCAAAATTCATAAAGAATAATATTGATGTCCATTAGATTAAAGGCTCATGCATACAGAACACGATATGTCCTGACGATATGATATTGCTGTCCGCAGTGATCTGGTAATATAGTAGTGTTACATCCTATACTGCTTTAACAGTCATACAGTGTGATAATCAGCAATGATACAGAGAAAGGGATCAAAGAACGCTGGGACCTCTTGCATTCTTTGTCCACGAGTCTTTAGTGACTTTATGTCTTCTAATATGCATATAAATGTATTTTTAAATTGAAGAACAAACCAGTAATATAATTATGTATTTGTTATCTTAAACCTCCAACAGGCAAGAAAACGAAGACTTGGTCGTCCACTTCACCCTTCGCTTCTCAACGAGAAGGATGGACGTGGACGTGGATTCCATCATAGCTGTATTATCGGAAGGTAGTCCTTATCTTGGCAACAAGATCATCGATCCAAAGAGTATCACCCTGATAGAGGTATTAAAACATAATTTACTATTATAAGATACGATTAACCAATATTAATTGTGATATGGTATCAGTAATTGACAATTTTCTTTAACACTCATCAGTCTGGAGATAGTGAAAATTAACAATTGATTAAAGTTCTTATTACTAAAGTCAAATAATTCAAGTGATAATCTGACAGACTGAGTTGGCTAATGGATTATCTCAATTAATTTTGTCAAATATACCTTGTTTTTTTTGTTTTTTTTTTTAACATTTTGATTCCTCATGTTATCTTCCAATGGCCATACACTGCCATGCAGAAGTTATTTTAATAACAGAGGTTTGCTTTGGCAATAAAGGGGTCTTCCTTAAGTTGTTAGTCTAAAGATAGTGTAAGTTTGTAAACAGCACTAACTTCATCGATAGAATCCATCAATCTCAATTGAATTTCTTCATGACTGATGTTAATGCTGAGTTTAGGCACGACCTGTTGGATTCCAGAAGAATATTGGCACTGCTCGAAGATAACAAACTGGTATAATTGCTAATAAACAAGTTCTTAGATTTTTTAGAACTATAAAAAAAAAAAAAAAAAAATTGTAGTTAATATACAATTACACTTTATGTGATCTGTCTCATATTTTTCTCTTGTTCTCTGTTTTGAAATTCCTCCAAAAATTCATACCATACCGAAATGTGCTCTCTCGAGAATTCAAATGAGCTCCCTAAAAACTTATAATGGCCCACCCATTGTAACAAAACATCAAAAATAAAAAAATAAAATTTTTTATTTTAATGAAATTTACAACTATATTACGTTAGAAATACAACAAGTAAATGTGACATTGGTAACATGACATGTACAACATGAAGAGAAACTACCCATTGGTAGAACTGAAATTAAAGTTCTATATTAGAAGGTTCCGAGGCCATCTTCTTTTCAGACGCCTCGGAGGGTTATCAGGGATCGAGAAGGAAGCAAGGTTTGAAACGAGAGGGTTCAGATGGTTCTGCAGTTTAAAAAATAAAAACTAAATTGAAAATTTCTAAAACTGGCTTTAGTTGAAAATTAATCTTTTATCATCTGGGGCGCCGGCAATTTATAAATTAATTCTTGTTTCTTGTCCTTGATGCAATTTTTTTATACACTTCTGTAAAGCCTGATTCTGGATACTAATTTAATTGAATCCTTTCCTGTAGAATTCCTAGAATGATTGCTTTGAATATTATCATTATAGGACAATGACGTGGACAAGCAGAACGCAAACGCTGAGGCAACTAGCACCGCTGAACTGACAACAACCACCGGTCAGCCAACGATGAGGACCTGCTCCCCCATGGAGTTCCGCTATTGCCAACACACCGCCACGACCAATGTTACCTCATATCCTAACATCATGGGCCATATGAAGATAGATGATGTCATGGCGAATGTCATAGCGTTTAGGTAAAACTCGTTGTAAAATATTCTTAAAACTATGGGTTTAAATTATGGAATATATAAATTATAAATTCATTTCTGTTATAAATAATTCATTTGATTGATTTATATTCTCGACCTCTTTTGGTTATATTTTATTTATCCTTCATAACTTTGCTCATAGCTAAAAATTGAACAAGCTTAGAAAATTTTAGTTAAGACTTACCACAGAATGCTAGAGCATATTATATGCTGAGGTAAATGTACAAATAGCAATAAGCAATTTATTGTTTGTTTGATTTCTAAGTGGAGGCAAAAATAAAAGTAAAAAAAATTTATATGGCCTTAAAGTATTCTCATTTCTCGGTGATAAGTAAAAATTATTATTCCGAAAATTTTATTTGGATGTATAAGTGTTATAAATGTAAATTTTGTGAAAATTCAAAAACTGAATAATCAGGTTTGTGAAATGCTCAAGTATAAAAGTATGTTAATATTGTTTTGTCAAACTTATTATCTTGATATGACTTGTCATCTTACTTTTGGCTAATGAAGTGCAGATTTTAAAATTCATAAGTATTCTTTATAGGTTTTTATTAAATCTACAATTATAATAGTTGCTATGTTACATACATACTGTTGATTTAAAAAAAAAATTATTTATTTATATTGAGACGTTCACTTTCATGACTAGTAGTCGACAGGTAAATCAGTTTATTTTAATAATTAGTAATATAATAATGTGATTAGATACTAGATAGGATAATGAAGGAATTGTGTAAAACTAGATGATGTCATGGCGTGGGTGCAAGTATAGGAACCTAAAACAACCACGTCAAAGTAAGGTGTCTTGCCTACGCAGACGATCTTGCACTTTTAGTGGAAATTGAAGAAGAGGCAATCGACCAAATAAATACACTGACGGAAATATCCAAAAAAGCGGGTCTCCAAATCTCCTACAAAAAAACAAAATTAATGACCACAGACGCAGACTTCAAGAAGAAAACAGTGGAAACCAAATACGGGTCAATAAATGTAACAAATAAATTTAAGTATCTGGGTGAGACTATATGTAATAATGGTTCGGAAAAAGAAAGTATCAAGGAAAGAATAGCCAAATTGGAAAAACTAACTTTTGCAACCAGTAACATATACAACAAGAGAAACCTGTCCACGGAAGCAAAAATACAGTTATTATAGGTAGACACTACAATACAGTTGTTAAACCTGTGATACTATACGGGACGGAAACCACATGCCTCCCCAGTCTGGAAAAATTGTTGAGAATAGAGCAAAGAATTCTAAGAAGGATTTACGGCCCCAAAAAGACAAAAGAAGGATACAGGCTAAGATCCAATCAGGAAATATACAAGAACACAAGAGATCTAGAAACGGAAATAAGGATCAGGAGACTGAAATTCCACGGACATATGGTAAGAATGGCCCCAGAAAGACTTAACAAGGAAATATTCCAAAAAATCCGTAGATACAAAAGCTTGGGAGGATACATCAGGCAGATGAAGGAAGAAACGGAAAGACTTGGAATAACGGACCAGGATTGTCTGGACAGAGAGGGGTATGGTATGAGACTAAAGGAGATCACGGTTCTTGTTAAGAAGAAAAGTTCGAGAAAGGGAGTCACGTGGACGGAGGAGAGAAAGCGGTGGCACGCGGAGATAATGAGAGAGAAGTGGAAAGAAAGGAAAAACAAGAAAGAAGCCAAATGTCATGATATTCGCGTGGTCTCTATGGCCGTTCCGTGAAGAAAAATAATGTGATTAGTATAATATCACTTTGTATAGTATTATTAACTGTTGAGAAATTTTCTCAAGTGTACCCTGTTATTAATTTTTTTACAAACTATTTTCAGAGAACTGGTTGATTCGGAATGTTACCGACTCGCTTACGAGTTTGTCTGCCAAATCTTGCAGCCACCCTGCTCTGAAAATCTAGTCTTGCCGTGCCGCAGTTTCTGTAAGGAGTTCTGGGGTGGGTGCGGGTCTCGACTTCCGCCTCCATTGCTACAAGCTCTCAACTGCTCCAACTTCCCCGAGTACAGTGCTGAAGAAGAATCCCATTGCCTCCCTAAGCCTGGTAATTTCATCAATTAATATAATTATTTTTATTATTGTAATATCCGTTGCTAATGAACATTGGGATATAGGCTGCTCTGATGATCTTGAGTCGAGAGGACTTGGGTCTCGGCTCTGCGACGGCGTTCCTGACTGTTCCGACCTCAGTGACGAGACATCTTGCAACCACTGTCCTGCCGGCAGCCTCCATTGCACTTCTTCAAAGGCTTGTGTTCAGCGACACTCTCTATGTGACGGCAATGCAGACTGCCCAGATGGTAGTGACGAGAGAGGATGCTGTATGTATTTTCATATTATTTATTATTTTCATTTAATGGTCATATTAATTTTTTCATTTATTATTTTGTTGGATACATTATAAAATTATCTTATATATCAGGATCTGTTTGAGTAAAAATTATTCAGACATATATCCTTGATAAAAATTATATAAAAGAATGTGTTTGAAGAAGTAGATTGCGAAATTGATGTCTATGAATATTTAATCTACTTCTATGTTTAATTAGATATGCTAGTACATTCCCACCCCCCTTAGGTTGGTTAGTATCATTTTTGTAGTTGTTTTTTTTTTTTTTTTTTTAATAAACTTATCTTAGTCTCTTCTTTTTACTAAAAATAGTAAATATAAAATGAAAAAATCTGGTGTATCCACTCACACGACTTTCCTACCTATTTCAGAAAAGTTTTTATATCTTTACATATGTTCATGAAGAAACAACAAAGAATTGAAATACATTTATTTTCCAGAAAATTGATCAAGCATAAGATTTGAGTACAATTTATTAGATAAACCAAAGCAATGAAAACAGCTTAAGATAATTCAGTATATAAATTTCAATACTCACTAATATTGCTGATCAAAAACTTTTTGCTATAGCTTAGTATTGTCAAACAATAATTTCTGTTAAAAGTAAATGAAATAGTGAAGATGTGAAGATTGTGTGATGCGGACAACTGTAAACTCGTAATCTTTCAATGGAAATTGAATAGCTGTAACTTCGTTAATAGTTGTCCAAAATGAACGATTTTTATATGAATTTGTAGGGAATTTCAAACGATGGACTAAAAATGTGTTTTTCAAACTCAGGCGGCTCTGAAACGTCATGTCGAAAACCGCATGTCGGAAATTTGACCCGATTGCAATACTTTCCTTACCTAGTATAGTTAGGAAAGTAAAAATATATGTAACTTGATTTTTAGTGACATTTAACTTTCATATAATTAACTGAGCATAATTTTAATATACCAACATAATTAAATCAACCTCACAGTCTTAACAAAATTAAAAAATATTATCAAATTAAATTCTAGTGAAAACATGTACTTTTACAATACACAATTGTTTTTATAAAATTTCACATTTTGAAATGGTTAGTTGTATTTTGTGTTAACTTTTTCCAGTATCCCTTGCACCAAACTTGAGCGGCCTGAAGAAGCTACGTAGCGTTCAAGCTATGCACTATTTTCCTCAAGGGAACGTGATATTCATCGAGAAAGGACTGCACGGAAAGGTTTGTACAGAGAATCTTAATGATTCGATTCCCAATGAAAATCAAGACGTTGTGCTGAATAGGATAGGGACATCGCTCTGTAAAGATTTGTCATTCAAGTAAGCAAGATTTATTTGTTAATGAGTAAAAAGCAATTATTAATCTTCTAAATTTTAATTTATATCTTAAATTTGTTTTTTTCAGCAAAGTAAAGAGTGTTAAAATTGAAAAAGATAAAGAAATAGATTCAATATACGTCAAAATGGCAGACCCAGCGGCTAGCGAAATTAGTTTTATACCGACGCATTGCCCTAGCAAGCAGATACTTTCTGTTGAATGCAACAGTTTAGGTGAGTTTGAATACCATAATTTTATAATATTAAAATACTAATACAAATGTATAAGTATACAAAATCCCGAAAAGAAAACATAATTTCAAAAAGTCTATTGATTCCACACTTTGATATTACAGCTTGTGCAGCACTGCGGCCAAATTAAAATTTATAAAAATAACCAACAAATATTTCTCTGTGTTATTTCCATTTCAAAGGCTTGAAACTGACTAAACAAAATTATTATATTGTTTGAATTTCGGATGAAACAGAGGATATAGAATAAGGCTTATTCAGGTATACCAGGTTGTAAATAACCTACAGGAAGTTAAATGTAAATGATTCGTTTTGGCGGGAATAGTTGTATAGCCTTCCGCTTTTATATCGGGGTTTAAGGTTATTTACACTCGTGAATCTTTAAAACAAAACCCCAGCACTGGATATCGACTTTTTGAGGGTGTTTAACTGTGATTGGAAATTCGGGGATCTATTACCTTTTATGACACTGTATGAGAAGAAACAATAAGAATATATATATGAAATGTGGGACTTAGTAAACACTTTGAATTGACTCACCTGGTTTATTCTTCAATCATGAGGCCTATAGGACAACTAAATAAAAGGAATATTCACTCCGGTATAATAAAACAATTTATTTTGACAACTGATAATAAATTAATATATATGAGTGAATGGTTGGCTTGATAATCTTGGTCTTCAATGTAGTAGTAAGCCTCTCTTCCCAGATGACGTCTTCTCATTCCCTCACACAATGTCAACTAATGGTGTAAATACAGGGGGATGTCTACTACAAGGTGTGTAAATATGAGACCGGAATTTTATACAGAAAATACACGTTTATTGCATGAAAATGTTAAAAAATATTTTATAAGAAATATTGTTCATCACGATCTATACATTTTCCCCATATCTTTGACAATTTATGAATACCATACCAGAAAATTTATTTTGTGGTGAACCAGTTATCAAGCGTGAAATGATTCTGAGCAAGTATCTTCCCCATTGATGCAAATAAAAAGTAGGCAGGCGAAGCCAAACCTGGTGAGTAAGATGCATGCGCTAATATTTCTCAAATGAACATCTCAATCGTTTCCTTTATTGTTTTTTCTTTGTGTTGGGTGCATTATCATGAAGCAAAATCACTTTTGGTCGTTCTGCACTCAATATTCGATTCAAATCGATCATTTTTTGTCGATAGAATTCAATATTAACAGTTTCATCAGATTTTAGCAGCTCATAATTGATCACCCTCATGTTCAATTTTCTTTTTTTTCATTTCTCACATCAAATTCGCCACTTTTGTATTTTTCTAAACCACTCAAAGCACAGTTTTTGACCAAGAGCATTGTGATTTATCAAGATCATGCTCATCTTCGACAAGCAAGCATTTGATGCTATTCTGAAACAGCTTAAAATGGTAACAGAAAACTAATCCTGTCTACAAATCTAATTTTTAGATACAAAACTTGAAATGTTCAACACAATTAAAAACATGATGTATAAAACTTGTATTGTTGCGAGTTGAAATTCTTTTTCCCAACTGTCAAAGAAACAAAATGGCACAACAAATGTGATTTAATGTAATTAGATGAACAACTACAGCTATCTATGGATGAATTCCAGTTTCATATTTACACATTTGGTATAAAAAATTAACACTAATGATATTTGTTATTTATACAACTACTTTAAAAATGTAGCAAATTTCCTATATAAAAAAAAGAAGAAGAAATGCGTATTATTTTTACATCAAAGTAATAGTTATAAACATACTCATTTTGCATATGTATATATGAACAGAATGTGGATTGCAATCCGTGAGGACAACCAAAGGCATCGATGGTCTGAGGAAGGTTGCGTCTCCCGGAGACTGGCCTTGGCATATTGCTCTATTTAAATCTGGGACTCACATCTGTGACGGAACTCTTGTCGAGCTTGATTGGGTCATAACTACAGCATCCTGTTTCCAAGGGTAAGTGCAGAACAATTAAATATTATTATTTAAAGGACAAAACATTCATATATTGTTAGGTTACGTTTCCTTTGAAAAGTAAACAAAACAGTTTCTGGTTCAATTTATATTTATTTTAAACAATAATTGTTTCTCAGATTGGGTTGAGACAACTAAAATACATTCCTCAATTATCAATATAAAATCGTACATTCATAGTACATAACATTTATATGAATTTCCATTCTTTTGTCGGAATGTAATCTTGGCTCGCTTTCGAACTGTCTATTTATATTTCACTCACCCTGTTCTGCTGTGAATCTTCCTCTGTATTGTTGTCTTCAACTTTCACAATCTTCCATTCTTCCCTTGTTGATACTCACCACCCGCTAGTCACACTCTACTCTCTCGATCCTCTTTACTAGCCGGCTGGCTACCTTTTGTCCTAACTAACATATGGCACTTGCTTCCCCTTCCATCTGTCTTTGTGCATTGAAACGGCCTTATGTTTCCCACCATCATAGAAGTTAAAGTGGCTTTTCTTCTCTTTCCACCGGTAATCCTTCCTTTGATCTTACCTATTCCAGAGGATCAGCTCTCACCATCTACAGCTTGCAATAATTCTAAAAAAACAAGATCCTGTGTTTTTGATCTATATAACTCTTTGCACAGAACCAAAATCTTCGAACGTTTTCCTTATTGTTAACTCCAGTGCCTTGTGGAATTCTCTGTCATCTAATATCCAGTATGTCTCTTCTCTGTCCTTATTCAAGAGCTTTATTTTCAATACCTTCTCACATCTTAATAAAAAAAAAAAAAAACTCCTATACCACTACAATCCATGAACCTCATTTTGAATGAAGGGTCTTGGGTTCTGTACTTTGTGAGGAAATACTGTTTCTTGGTCAACGGTAGTGCAAAGAGGTGATTCGACCCAGATCACACTCAACTGCCTAGTTTTCTTTTTTAATTAATTAATTAAGAGTACCCACTTTATAGAGACTGGGTGATCCCCAGGAGGTTCTCCTGACACCAGGGTCGATCCACAGCCGATGAAACAGAATAAATAATTACTTGCCATCAGCCAGGTTCGAAAAGTCAGTGCCCTACACATTTAGCTATCTCGCTCCCTAGGCTCTTTACAATCATGAAATAATATTTTATAAATGGAATTTTGATAGAAGTGAATATTGTTCTTATTGTTTTAATTTTATAGTATTTCTATCCTTTTTTTTTTTTTTTTCGTTTTAGGGAAGTTTTATTTTTACTGTATATTATATAGATATTGTGTGAAATTTGTGTAATGTAGTTTTTGGCCAGATGTGGTTTCTGAATATTCCTTAAATAGTTCTTGATTGTAATTAATATTCTTATTGGACAAGCCTGGTTATTTATGTACAATATTTTTGTATGCAGACAGAGCAAGGCCGAGTGGATTGCAAGAGGAGGTACAACTCGATTAGGATCAACGCCACCTTGGCAGCAAGAGAGATTGGTCGTTGGGATGGTAAAGTCACCAGTAGAGGGCAGCACTGTTGTCCTTGTAAAACTGGAGAAACCATTCTCTCCATCGGACTTTGTCAGACCAATCTGTGTTCCACAATCTTCGGGACCAATCGCTTCATTAGAAGCATGCAACAGTTTAGGTTGGACCAAAAACAGTAAGTTGACATTCGTTGTATTAATCAAATCAGAATTATGGTTTATATGAAATAACTTTATATAAGTTATTATGTTTTTTTTTCATCAATCTTTTAAAAGCCACAATGTCTTATCGTGCTTTTCAATAATTTTAATACAACCTTAAAATATAAAACAACCTATATATTTTTTATAATCAAAACAAATATAACAATTTAATAAACTTGCATCTACTCCTTCTTGAAAAGAAATGCATTTAATGGATAAAATAATTTTTAATAGTTTAAAATGTTTGCGTTCATGGTATAGTAAAGGATCCAAGAGTTCTATGCGTTCTCTGGAAGAATTTGTTTTTTAACATCTTGATACCTAGGCCAGGCCAGGCATGTGGTTGTCTTTTTTAAAGTAAATTGGACAAAAGGCCTTTAAGGCTAACTCATAATTGAATTATGTAAAGATATTTTAAATTCCACACTCCTTAGCGGTACTCTTACTAACCGTGGTTCGAGCCTTGAAGGGTTTGAAGAACTGACACATTTGGTAGGTAAGTGAAAAGGTCGAGGGAGGATTTCCCAGTTGTCCTTTTTCAGATAGCAAAAGGTAGGTAAACATAGTGAGAGGGGTAGGGAGGTAACATTTCTGTTAGTAGAATGTAAATAGTGGGCGGGGTGGCCGATTGGGCTAACGTGTTGTGCACAGCACCACCGTTGCCTGGCAACTTGATATATGACAAATATTGTTATAAAAATAGTCACGAGTAAGGCGTCTTTTAAATTCCCGCCCACACTCCCTGGCCTGGGAAAACCCCATATAGCCTTACAGGCGAGGAAGGGAAGGACCCAAAAAAAAAAAATAAAAAAAAAAATGTAAATAATTTGCTGACTAAATATTTTAGATGTGTGCAAGATTTGTGTTGTTTCTTATGGAATATTTATAATAAAGACAATTGTAATGGATTATACTGTATTTTAAAAATAACAATATTAATCCTTAATCAATACATATCACCCATGATATGTTGAACAGTCAACTAGCTTCCTTCAATTTTTCTTTTATATATAATTTTATTAAATGTTGATAATCACTATAGTTTCATCTTATTATCAAATAAGATGTAATTCTATTTTTTTTTTTTTAAATTATGAAAACAATTACATTCATTTTTATATAAATATATAACTAAGAATTTGTATTGCTATGTTTTTTTTTTTAGTTTTTCATTGGTGAAAAAAAAAATAATATGTTATTGACTTTCCAGATAAGAGAGAACCTACTATATATTTAATCATAAACATGCTTAATATAAGAAATAATTTAAATGAATGGTTATAGGGACGGTGCTTCAGAGAGTAGAGCTCAAACTTAGCAACATGGAACAGTGCTCGAATATAAGCATCACTACGGTCAACAGCATTTGCACTAATTCTTTCAGTCAAGATTGTAGCGTAAGTTCAATATAATTGTTTTATATTATCTCTTTGGTATAACTTAGCATTAATCATTTATGGAACATAAGCTCTATCATATAGGGTAAGAATATTGATGTTGATAAAATTATAACTGGTCTTAAAAGAAAAATAAGTAAAATAAGTTACATTTTATCTTAAATTTTATTAACTAAAGTTTATATATATATATAAATAATATATATATATATATATATATATATATATATATATATATAATAGGTTTAATAGACAATGGAAATAACATCAACTATCACATGCTAAGTAGCAGAATAAGTCGGTCAGCCATGTCTTTACACAATTTCGGTAATAGTAAATATTTAGTTGCAACACACAGCAAAGAGAACTTACATATCATAACGATCTTAATAATAGCAAATGCAAAAAAAAAATAAAAGACATTTTTGTTCCAGAAGTAGAATATTACAGAAGCATCAAGGCGGAAATAAAATTTAAATGAGTATAATGAATTATTTTTAAATAACTTTTTTGGACTCACAATATCTCAAAATGCGTTAATAACGATTTAAAAAAAAAAAATGGTGAAACTATAAATTACTGAAACCTATGCTAACAGCTTAAAGCACTTTTATAATTATTCTAAATGAAATACCTGCAAAACAATACTATTATATTATAATTGTGAACTACCTGTTTGCCGTTATTATTTATTTTATATTTCCTTTAATTTTATTCTACTTAAATTTTTTAGACTATTTTTGACCTACGTATTATTTTCTTTTTAATGTTAATGTTATCTTTTAAATGTTAATAGTTAGCTTTTTTTGTTAATAGTTTCTCATACCCATTATTATCTGTTTTTTTCCTAGCCCTGATGAAAGCTTTAACTTTGGGCCGTTACATCGGCAAAAATAAATATAATTTATTTATTTTTACATTTTTTTTACTCAACCAACGCAACCTATCTTCTCTTCAACTGTTGTATTATATCGTTATCTGATTCATATGTTGACAGGGAGAGGAACTCGCTGGCAGTCCGATGCTGTGCTTGAACAGCGACCAGAGGTGGGTGCTGGCTGGTGTGTCTAATTGGAGGATTGCATGCTCCAAGGTCGGAGATCAGCGACCAAGACTGTACGACCAGATCACATCCAACGTAGACTGGATCCAATCAACCATCAAGTCCTATTAGTAAACAATTCAGCTGTGACTAAATCACTAATGAGGTTACGGCTGTTGTTTCATTCATTAAACTATATTAATTGAAAAAGTGAAGGACTGCTAGTTTAATATTGACTCTGAGTATGACAAATCCTCTATTAGATAGAGGATTTTAACAAGACATACGTTTTTCTAGAAATGAAAACTGTAATTTCAAAAAACGACATTTTTTAAAACTATTTATACACTATTATTACTAACTTCTTTTAATTGATTTATTATGAACTTTTTAAATATATTTATAGAAGGGTAATAAACTGGAATAAACCCAAACTTGATTAAAAGAGAAAAAAAAATATCGCTTCAATAGTAATTTTGTTTTTCTTTACAAAGCAGTAAAAACAAATTTAACTAAAATTCACTATAGTTAAATATCTTGTTTAATTTTTTTAAATGATTTATTCTTTATTGTCTTATCTCAATATTAACAGATGATGTCTTCTATTTATAGTCTCAATTGAAATTTTAAAAATTCAATTGTATTCACAAGATTGAATTATACAAGTGACAACTAGTCTGAAACCAACATGAAAGAAAAAGTAAGTAATTTACTGTTAAATATCCCCTGCTTCGGAAATGGAGTATGTTTTAAATTTAAAGTATTTCGTGTTTTATTGTTATAACTTATAAAAACAAAAATCATTACTTTACTTATTGTATGTATTAAGCAGATAAGTATAGAATAATTTTAAAAATTGACTACTTACTTCCATTTATTATTTCAACTATTTAGAAAATATTATTTATTTATCTTTGAATATTAAGTCAATTACATCAAAATTCAAAGAAATGGAATATAAGCACATTTTTTCATCTCACAATGCCTTCTGAATTTTTTTTTTCAAGTATTCAGAAGGCTGGGGAACAACTGATTTAAAAAAAAAAAAAACATCAAGGGAGGCATTTATAATTTTTTTTTTTTAACTTTTCATTTAAATAATGACTATTTCAACTATAATGACATTGTTTTATCAAAAAGTTGTTCTAAGAAAAAACCCTATTATTATAATTGAACAAATATTGTTAAATAATGTTCCATGTCCTCATAAAAGACTGTATGTTATGTATGTATGACAAAAGATCTCATTATTATGGGATTAAATAAGTGTACAAATATTTTGTAAATAAAATTATAATTAGTATTGTATCTATATTGTAAAATGTAATCTATAAATGGGTATTTTACCCAGATTTGATGAATTGTGTACATTTGATTTGTTAAAAAATCTTTGTTTTTAAATAAATTGTTTAATAAAAAAGGTTGCCATGTTTATAAAAACCTAGATACCAGAAAGTTCCTACTGATTGACCCTGATAATTTATAAGATAACTGGTCAAACAAAAGTCACAACAAAGCTGATAAAGTCCACATTGAAGGAACAAACCTTATCTTTGTCTAATCTAATCTGCTTTTAAATATTTCCATGCCATTCCTCATAAACTCCCATACCACTGCAGAAGTACGACGACAGCATGATACTCTTCTCTGAGTACCTGGTAGGAAATATGGACCCAACGATGCCTACTGTAACAGAAGATACAGGTAAATTGCTACCGCCACTTGTTTTTTCAAACTAAATTCATTTTTAATACTGTTTAGTATCTTATAATATAGTCCATATATTTTAATTTAATGAAAAGCTAAACTTGTTTTGCTAAACCTTGTTAAGTCCAACTTACAATATTTTACAAGAGACTAAAAATGAAAAATTTAAATTTCTAATTAAACGGAAATTATGCTAATTATAGAAGGCTTACATGTGGAAGTATTTAAGGTGTTATTGTCATGCCATCTGAATTTTAGGATAGCATATATTCTTTGTTTCAAACATAATAAGTGTTTATTAATTTTTTCTTTTTCTACATTGTTTTTAAATATCAAATTAATTTGAGGTTATACATATGCTTTAAATAAAATATTTACTTATTCTTTGTTTATTCATCTTGTAAGTTTTAATATTTAATAGGTTAGATTGTCAATTTTTAATTTTTTTTATTTCTTCATTATTGATGTTTGAGGAAATATCTTCCCCACCCTGAGAAACTTTATTGCATAAACATCAAGTATTTCATTTACAATTTTTTTTATTATTTTGTCTTATATAATAAAATTAGTTTTATATGGCCTATAGGGAATAGTCTTGAAACAACTAAATCACCTGTAGATGTAAGAATAGCCGATAAGTTTAAAAATAAAGTTTTTTATAGGTAAAGTCTTATTTTAGTCTCAAGAATTTTTACTAAATTCTATAAGCATTACTAGCTAGGAGCTAATATCTATTAATTTTTTTTTTACGTCACTAACTTGTTAGAAGCTGGTTTCCAGCTCAAATTGTCCACGGAGTTCAAAACTTTAAACAACTTCTAAATTTGGTATTTTTTATTATTTATGTATTCACGTTATAAATATGAATTTCCATTTATTTATATAATTCAATATATAAATAAACTAGGGGTGTAATTTCTGTTCGCCTAACGCCGGTCAACCTCCATTTTACAAATTACATAACTTCATTTAATTATACTACTTGTGACTCAAATTGTATAACTGTAATTTACATGTATTCTGTAGTTCAGGTTGTATTATTTTTATTTCCTTTAAAAATCTATATTACACATCGCTCCTTATTGCCAATTTGTAACTATAATAAGGGAGAAATAATTCTCGGAATAAGAAGTGTGGTGTCTTTGTTACGGTCTGTCCCGCTTTGTATATATAAAATAAAATATGACATTGTCACTAAAAACTTTTTTATATAATAGAGATGAATAATAAGGCTGTAATGTTTATTTTCAATTGTTTTAAGGTTTTATTACTAGTTGTTTTATTAGTATTATGGATTAAGTTAACATTGATTAACTTTAATAAATATCTTAAAGAAAGTTACAGATTTTGCTGATAAACACAATATATTTTATAACCATAAAACATCTGAACATATTATATTATTTATATATGATATCAATTGTTTATCAAATCAAATTAAATCATATGGGTTGTCCTGCTCCTACAGTTTTTTCTCTTAAAAATAGCCTAAATGCTGAAATGTCGAATGAAAAGTAAAAATAAAGTAGGACTATTTGGATTTAATGTGTGTCGCCTTCTGGATTATTTGGCCTAGAATTACCCCTATTTTATTTATTATTATATTCTAATTTTTAATAATTAAGAATCTTATAGTAAAATATTCAGCTTTAGTGAATAATGTCTATATTTTTATAATGAGCCATGGGTGTAATTTAAAATATTTTTTCGATGTGTCCAACTGATTTCCTATTGGAAGAATCCTATATCTTTTTCATATTTATAAGGCATATTTATTGGTTGATGATCAAGAAGTGGGTGACAAGTTGTTTGTGTATTTCCTAGATTTTTCATCATAATAATAAAAAAGAAAAATTTTATGAAAAAATTATTGCTTTCACAAAATAAAATATTTAATAATAAATTAAAAATATTTACAAGATATAAAAAATATAAATGCTAAAAATAATATGTTATTTGCTCTGCATTTAATTGGTCAGTACTTCAAAATTTAGAGAATATGATTACAATAAAATAATTTGAAATAATAAAATAAAGGTAAATAAATCACACGAATACAACACTGATATATATATTAATAATAACTTTTCTATTGGCCTATTATGAATTTAAAAATATATTTACAAAATATTTAACAGTGGCTTTAATTATAACAAAACAGTAGAAACAATCTTTATAAATGAACTTCAATTTCTAAGTCATTCATTTATTTTTTTTTTGATTCATTTAATAGTTTACTTTGATTGTCTTATCTTGGAATTAACAGTTGTCAACTTGTAGCAACTTACTATCAAATCTTAGGTAAATAATATTATTTCTTACTCAGTAACTTTTCACAATTAATGGATTTTTTTGGGCTTGCAACTTCAATTCTTATTTTTTCGAAGTCTGAAATCAAAGAACTATTAAGCTTTATTTATTTACCTTTTTCGTTTTATCCTCTACTTTAAGGTTGTTAGGTTTTTGAAGTTACCAAGTAGGAATAAATCGGCTGACAGTTAGTTTCTTATCAGATATAAATATGTTAAAACCACAAAAAATATTTGACTTAATGAATGTCGTTAGGTCATGCTTAGGTTTAGGAAGTTTTGTTTGTTATACAGGTGAAATTGTAAATTATAACTTTCCTTTGACTTGTATATTACCAGTTAATTGCAAAAAGTCACTAAGAACATTTTTGATATTTGTAGGTTAACTTTCAAGTATGCTTTTATGAATTGCGACCTTATTTATCTATACAAAAACAATGTAAGTGTATGAAAATGACACTAACACTTTCATTTATCATAAATAGTTAATAACAAAAAGTGTACAATTTTCTGATTTCACAATGGAAAATTCACCAAAGTTCTTAATTATTTGAGGTTATGAAATGTCACTTAATGGCTAATAGAAACATATTCTCTATTGTTATATCCTTTGCTACAATTCGAGGATTAATTATAAATACATTGTTTTCTCATTTTAAATTATTGTTATTTAAAAAACATTTACCTTGAGCTTACTCTCTCATAATATAAACTCTATTTGTTACTTTTTGCATTGATCAAAAAAATAATAACAGAAAATTATTAGAAGCCATATATATCATCAAAAAATTACAAAACAGGTTGCAAAAATCCGAGTACATGTTACTCTGATATAATGAACAGAATTAAAATACAATAAACAAATTAAACTTAATCATATTAATAGTCAAATTGTCTGTAGGGGAAGGAGAGTAGAAATGGAAATGGAAGATATTAATTCCAAAAACTATTTTCCTCAAAAGCAACCATTCATTGTTCAAGATAAATTTTCTTTCCAACTATGTGTAACTATAAAAAGTAACAAACAAATTTTAAGTAATGACAAAGGAAGCATATAAAAAAAGGTAAATTGTACTGTAAATAATAATAACTAGTTGGCCCGTGCGAATAATTTGCAGAAAATTTAGTTTAGTGAAGAAATAGCAAAACAATATGGGAATAAGCAGATCCTATGTATTATGAAAGGAAGGAATTAATATTTTTTTTCTTGGTCGATTACAATATTTCATTTAATATAATAGACCAAAATATTTGTACAAATTGCTTTGCAAGGACCTTTTTTAAACGATGACTGGAAAGATAATAAAGCCTCGATCCTGGGATTTTCTAAATTATTAAAAAAATAAAATAAAATGTAAGAACAAACAAATGCTTTTAAGAAATAATAAATTTAATATATCTGCCAAGAAAAAAAAAATGTAGTATAATAGTAAATGCAATATCTTTAAAGAGGAAGAAATTATTAAGTATAAAAAACTAATGGACTGTATCTGTGTTAATAATTGTCCAATTTTTTTTTGTTTTGTAGGTAATTTAGTAATCTTTCTAATTATCATGGGTACAATCCAGAAAAAAATTAATACTTCTCGAGTTATTCGCAAATAAAGTTTTCTTTCCTTCATAACTTTTTTTCCAGAAATTTCAGGGGGATAGCACTATTTTTTGCATGGAAAGGAGAAGAATACACGAAGTTATGGCTTACCGACAAAAAAAAAACTTTTAGAAATAATATATAGGATATGTAGAGAAGGATATAACAATAGAGAATATGGTTCTGATGACGGAGAAACATTTCCCGAAACGTTAAACAATGAAAAGAAATGTGAATTATTGAAGGAAGTTAGTCGACTGTTCTACATATCATGGGTGATAAATATTCGGGACACAGTCTTTTTTAAAATTTTTTATTTTTGGCAACGTTTCAATCATGTGGGTCATCTTCAGGGCTGAAAATGTTTTTTAAAATTACAATCAGAGATATAATAGTATATAACCGCTAATTATAAATAATAAATTACAGTGATTGATGGTGCATGAGTCTAATTAATATTGCAATACACATATTAAAATTAAATATGTAAATAGTTATACAAACTAAAACTAAAAAAAAATTTAAAAATAAAATAATATATATAATCCATTTATACATCCATGTTTAAATGGATTATATACATTATTTTTTTTTTTTTTAGTTTTAGTTTGTATAACTATTTACATATTTAATTTGAATATGTGTATTGCAATATTAATTAGATTCATGTACCATCTATCACTATAGTTTATTATTTATAATTATACTATTATATCTCTGATTGTAATTTTAAAAAACATTTTCAACCCTGAACATGACCCACATGTTTGAGTTGAAACGTTGGCAAAAATAAAAAATTTTAAAAAAGACTGCGTTCTGAATATATTTATATCACCCATGAAAAGAAATGTGACAATTAAAAAAAATACATGTTACAAGGAAGTTATAATTGGTAACTTTACCTGTATTTTACAAAATATTTTCATTAATAACCAGTTTGTTCAAACTGAACTAATCCTATAGCAGATTTTGTAAACACTAAGTGACTATTTTTAAACCTTAATTCGATTTATTTGCAAATTAATATCTGTTAAATGAGGTAAAACCGGCACTGTGATAAATACGTCCAATACCTACAGGTAAACTGGCGTACGATGCGCTTCCGTGATATCCTTATTACAAACTGATTGCTTATAATTTTTCCACTTGATTATCAGAACAAAATTATTCCAGACTTGGTTATCTATCTATTTGTATGGCTCATTCTAATCTGAAGATTGGTCCTCCTTGCATAGACAAGAATAAAGGACATTCTCAGTTCATATCGAGAGAAAGCACCATGATTTTTCTTTGGGATATGTACTATTTGACGATGGGTGAGTAATATCGAGGTCGAATAAGTTTTTGAAATCAAATACTATTATGATTTGTTGATAAAATTCTACATTGTATTTTTTTTTTTTTTAAGTTGATTAATTTATTTTTATTAACCACATTAGCCAGTCTTCTTGAAGGTATTACAAAGGTGTAATTTAATCAATTTACAAAATTGAAATGGAATTTTAAATATTATTTTAAACAGTTTTGGTATAACTGAAATATTAATTTTTAATTTTTGTTTTCTATTATTATTATTAGAACAATGAGATACATACATAATTTATACTTATTATGATATCAATTATCATATCATTAATGATATCAAAACCAATATTTTTTTTTTCTTTAATCTTTATTTGTAGCCATATATTTCTAAAAATGTTGATTATTATAATACTAATTAAAAAGCACTGAATTTTCAACAGAGCCACTTTTTGGAGAGAATTAAACTTCAATTCACTTTAGAAAGAATTAAATATTGTTTCAATTTAGAAAGAAAAAAAGGTGTATAATTCAGGAAAAAAATATTAAAATTGTACTACTAAATTATCTTTCGTTTATAACACTGGTATAATTAAATTAATGTGAATTTGAACTAAAGCGTTAAAAATCTAATCCACAATTTTTGTACCTATCTACTTTGTATAGAATTAAATTTTTGCTCAAATGTAGTGTATTTCTATCAGATCCAAACTTTAAACTGTGTATTTGCAAATTTCGGTCATATTCACGGGCGGATCTACGGGGGGAGGGGGAGGGGCTTTCGGGCTGAAGCCCCCTCCCCCAAAATGGTAAAATATAACTATGTTTTATGGGAAAATATATTAAAAAATTATCTGTTAAAGTATTATTATTGGTGTAATTACATTTAAAAGGACTTAAGGAATCACTTAAACACCATTTCATATAGATAGCTAGTTTCTTTCTTTTTTTCCAAGGTAATTATCGCTATTTTTATGAAAAAAAAAGCTTTCGGGTTGAAGCCTCCCCCTCCCCCCCAAAATGGTAAAATATAACTATGTTTTATGGGAAAATATATTAAAAAATTATCTCTTAAAGTATTATTATTGGTGTAATTACATTTAAAAGGACTTAAGGAATCACTTAAACACCATTTCATATAGATAGCTAGTTTCTTTCTTTTTTTCCAAGGTAATTATCGCTATTTTTATGAAAAAAAAAGCTTTCGGGCTGAAGCCCCCCCCCAAAATTGAATCCTGGATCCGCTAGTGGTCATATTCATCAATGGAACAATTTATAACATAAGTCAAAATAATACAAACTCTATTATATCAAAATTAGGTTTAACAGATTTATCCAAAATTCATCTACAAACCCTATTATATCAAAATTAGGCTTAACTGATCAAAAATATTGCCTGGAAAGTGTTAGGTACTCATTGCCACTATTAGTGAAATATCATAATTTAAAAATTATATGGCCAACACATTAAGTAAGTGTTTGTAATTTGATAGGTCATATTCATAATACTGTTATTTGATTACTTTAATAAAATTTATTTTTAAAAAGGTACAACTCAAAAGTAAAAATTTTTGTTATGTAATTAATAAAGCAGGAGAAATGTAAATATTTTAATTTAAAAAAGAGCACATATGCATTGTTTGTTTTTTTAATTTTTTCTGGATCATGTACCATAATATTCTATTTAATAATAGTTCATTAATAAAAAAAGAAGTAATAAGGATGTTTCAGTAGAATAAAGATAAAAGTAAGAGCAAACATGTTATTTATATAATGATTGTACAATGTCCAATACACAAATAAGATACAGCGTACGGATTTATCTGTTAGTGTAGTCGTAGAATAAAGGAGACATCAATTGGTTTCTAAAGATCCTCAAACTTGTTTGCTTTTTAAATTGTTATAAATAAATTTGTATAAAATGATAAACTGGATCATCTTGAGGAAAAATTCAACGCCTCCTGGTGTTATTGATTTTTCATCATCTTGGTAGAGAATATGAAAATCATGTTTTCAATCTAGCCACATTTGGTTGTAGTTTTAATCGCCTTATCTGGTTGCAAGTTAATCTGAGTTGATGGTTTTATATAATTAAAAAAATGTATACATTTTGCCAATCTCCGTTTCCTTTTACAGCTTTCTATATTCGATATTGTTTTTTCTAAAATTCTCCGCTTTCCAACGATATATTATACGTATATCTTCGGACTAGTATTTCCAGAGATTCGTTTTCGACCTGGATAGACATTTTTATTTTTTTCTCCTTTATTCAATTATCAAATTCTTTCAAAAGTTATATTTAGCATTTTTTAATAACTTTTAATAATGAGAGATCATTGATTATTTAAAATAAACCATATTAAAGGTACTTTAGAGGAAGATGCATATGAACATTGGGCCCTTGTAAAGTGACATCAACGGGGATAAGACCTAAATGATATTAAAGACCACTTAATGATATAATGATACACTGAGTTTAATCAAAATCGTTAGAGCCATTTTTGAGAAAATTTTAAAAATGTATTTCAGCGTTCATATAAAGTGGCACTTCCGGTTAGCCGATTTTAACGAAAAAGTTACTGTCACATCCAGCCCATATACAAACCTTAAATAGTTAATATGAGTTTCGTACTACTTTTCGTTTATGAGCTAGACTGTTAACACACACACACACAGACCACTTTGCGACACTTGGTTATTTGGACTCAGGAGACCTCAAAACACGTATTTCCGTTGAAAACTGAGATTCAAAAATTTTCACGATTGCAATACTTACACTTACTATATATTTCATATATACGTAAGTGAAAGTAAAAATTAATTGTAGCCAACAATAAAACAACTATTAGAGAAATGTCGAATGTAATAAAATTCAAATATTGCATAATATAAAATAGTTTAAGAGATAAATCTGATTTTTTTAGAAAGGGGAGTGATGATGTCATTGCCTGGGGGCGCCGGATTTTTAAGGCCATCCTTTATTATTTACCTGCTTATAATCTTTTATTAATTTACAGAATTTGTTAACACATTTTGATAGTAGAATAAATCATCCAGTTGTTATCTCATGTCAGCTCATGAAAATGGGCTTAGAGTCCAAAAAATCAACATAAATGAAATGGAGCAACATAATAAGGGTTAAAAAATATATGTCTCATGAGTTGCAACAAAATAAACCGAACTAACCAAAATGTCATCTCATTCTTGTAAAATTTTAACAGCTGAACTTCTAGAAGATCCCGAGGCCTTCATGCCAACAGAAGAAACTCCAGTTGTGATTTATCAGAAGTCCAAAGTGATCTTCTTTGCCTATTTTATACCAATCATATTCTTAGTACTTGGTATTATCATCTTTATGGGTGCAGTGATACAAAAATTCAAAAAGTAAGTTACAAGTAAGTAGTTAATGATCGTAATAATATTTAAGTTTAATAATTGATAATATATGAGGATGATAAATAATCAGGATTTGTAGTCTAAGTTCATTAGGCTTGTCGACGTTTCAACCAAGTGAGTGGGTCATCATCAGGACTGAAAGATTAAAAAAGATACAGACAGAAGTGTACAGATAAGCCAAGATATAAATATGAATATAACACATAACATAATAGTTATTTACATATAAGATAATATAAACATATAGTAAGCCAAGAAGAAAATTAAATAAATAAGTATATAAATAGTGAAAATAAATTAACTGATGGTGGAGAAATGGCTGACAATTGATTTTTATAAGAGAAATCCGTTCGGAATTACACTCATAGGAAGTAAACACAAATAAATTATATTTATTTTCATAATTGCGGATTGATGGTTGATTGCAGTGAATAATTGAAGAGAAAAATGGTTCGGATGACAAGAAAAAAAAAAAAATTATACTTATTTTGGCTGATCGCCCCAACCATCTTTCTCTTCAATATATTTATTTTCTTTATGTTGATGTTTCGCCCTTCATCAGGGCTAAGCAAAGACCAGATAATAAATAAATGCTGAGAAAATAATAGACAGTAATAATGATATGTATATAAAATAATACATAAGTAATTGAACTTAACATTAATAAATATAAGGAATGGAAAATATATGATATATAAATTGAGGAAGTTATAAACTAACAGTAACAAAGCTAGGACTTATAAAATAATGGTAACACAGTTAGGAAGTTGCTACCATTTCATTATTTCAGGAGTCCCATTTTTTTTTTCTTGGCTTTCTGTTATGTTTATGCTATCATTATCTCATGTGTACCTTCCATCTCTTTATTTCAGCTTGTTTACATACTTCTATCTATAACTTTTTGAAGTGAAAACTTCTTTAGGTGCGTTTTGCATTTTTTTTGTGGAGAGTGAATTAGATTGAGTCGTCAGATTTCCGATGTGCAACGTTCGTATAAAGTCGGCTGGACTTGATTAATTGAAGTGTTTTTGTATATGAATTAAAATATATCAGTAACTAAAAATTGAATCTTCATATTGTAAATGAGGGAATTGTTCAGCATTTCATCCTCTCTGTAATAAGCTATTGTTCAAAATTGTATCTTAACACGATACCATGTTAGAGAGACAAAACATCTTTAATGGAAGATACGGATTAAAATATCTCAGAAACTAAAAATCGGACCTGCAAACTGTAAGCGAGAGAAATATTCAACATTTCATCCTCCTTATAATGAGCTATTATTTATAATTTATATTTCATATTAATCTAGCCTTGTTTATGTTTTCACTTCTATTGTGTGGTCTAAAGCAAATAACTTAGTTTTTTACCCTGGTGACACATGCTTACGTCGAAACGTCGACAAACCTAGTAAACCATATAAAGATAACAAATCCTAATTACTTGTCAATTTTAAAAGACAGCTTCGCATCCATCTCCAAAAAAATTAATATGTGATTTTATTATTTTTATTTTTTTTGGCTTTATGATTTTAGACAAAATCCTATTTTGCGTATAAGTTTTATTTCATAACCAATAAAATATTTCTTTGTAGTTCATATAAAAAAAAAACACACAAAAACAAATTGCTTTTAGATGGTTTTCACGTAGGCATGATAAGGACCAAATGAATCCTAGTTTTAAGAACTATGGAAGCTGCCAAAGCGGAAATATGCGGCTTTTCCAACATTGTCCTCCATCCACATCCACAAGAAGATCTCTGAGTGACGGAGATGTGAATACAACTGAAAGTCTCAACAAGGAGCTGGAAAAAAGACTCGAAGGAGAAAATAGCAAAGTTTTGCCTTTCAAACCCAGAAGCGGGAAGAAAAATAATAAGTTTATTTATGTACATACTGCTTAAAATACAAGCGTTATATTTTATAGTTTTTCTATACCCGATTTTCATTGACTGTTTATAAATATTGCATGATGTTGCTAAGGATAATTTAATAGAATGAATTTATGTCGCAATGAAAGGATTGTATAGGAGCAGTATCATTAGGTAACTGTTTATTTTAAAGGAAATAATGTCAGCAAAAAATGAATCGTCACAGGAACATGTTCAATCTTAGAAACAAAATTTGTTTAGGAAATCTAAAAAAAATTTGTCTTCCTTTGCTTAGACATTAAAAAAAAAAATCTGTTAATTAAAAAGCTGAAGATTATGGAATAGTCAAAAAGATAACCTCTGAATACCGGACGTTCATAGTGATGTCCTTTAATGAGAGGTATCTTCAATTGAAATATACTCGTAAACATAAAATCATATATAAAACGGATGTAGAAGTATATTTGCTTAAATCTACTAAAATTCTAATGAAAATTGTACCCCCAATCTTTATGGGGTTTTCAACAAATACATACTTATTTACATACATTTGGAATTTTAATGACATAGTGCATATATTGTATTTGTACACATTGGAATAGATAAAGTAGTAAGAAATTTTATTGATGTCGATAAATATAATTTATCTATATAAATAAAATAAAGGTTTTTTTGTCTGTACATTGAATAGAGTCAATCCGTTTCATACATTACAGACACCATACATATACAAAATATACATCTAGTTTTAAAATATATTTTGTCTGTCTGTATGTCCGCATTGTCCAACGAAATTTTGTCAGGGGTAAGCTCAGCTATGGCTAATGGTACACTTTTGACATTATATTAGTTCTGCTTGACTTAAAACATAAGCTTTAAATGAAAACAAAATATTGAATTGAACCAAAGTTATGAATTCTTGAGTAATTTGTCTAGATATCTCGGTGAGGCTGTTACTTACTTCGATTCTCATCCCAACCTACTCTACCGCGAGCCACATTTTAAAGTTGTACTATTTAACTGATGGAAAAAATTATCACAACTCAACTGGGAAAATTCCGAACATCTGTAACCCATTGTTGCTTTAAACACACTCATTTTTCAACTTTGTCTGATCTTCCCATTCAAGATGTCATTCGATTCAACTTTCCGAGCCTAACAGATGTTGTCGTGTATATTTTTAGGATTAACCAAACAGGTTAGCCGGAAATCGGAAAAAAAAACTATTATAAAATTCAGATCAAGTTCTAATTTTAGACGGATATAGGTGACTCAATGTTACAATACACCCATCAACGACGGGTCAACTACATCAGCTAGTTCATTAATAAAATTAAGTTTATAAAATATACAAAAAAAACTAACTAAATAAAACCATTAAGTAAGAGTCAGAGGAAACAGAACTATCCAAAGTTATTTGTTCAAATTTTTTTTTTCATGTTGGATCTGCATGTCTACAGAAAATTTGACACTGTCCCCTTTTTAATTAGGAAAGAGAGGAAATGAAGGAAGCAACTTGATGTAAATAGTGTTATTAAATAGACTAATGCATGCTTGGAAAAGCGAAGAAACAAACCTTATGCTGTCCTTATCTAGTAGTCTTAAAAAACATTTTCTTTGCCTGTATCTGCTACCTGAAGTGCCCCTAAAAAGGAAGTTTCAAAAGCATTGTTTCTGTATAATCCATTGCCATTACATTTAAAATTGTCCTGTAAATAGAGATGTTTCTTAAAGAGAAAGGTCTTTATCAAGAGGTTTCACTGTTTCTTAAGCCATAGGCAAACATTGAGATGATATAAGTAATGAAAAAATATTACATTTCAGAACAAAATTTATTCCAATTAAATACTTATTTAAAAATAAATAAACCATATCAATTCCTATTGTAAATAATTTCCTTGCCTTTGAAATAACAATCAATAAAATTTTTCATATCAGAAACAGAATGATCAAATCAGTTCCTAGCAAAAAAAAAAAAAATGCTAGTTATAATATAATTTAAATATATATAGAACATATATAACAACATAGAAAATAATAAAAAATATATATGGAATGTTAAAACAAATAAGATACAATTATCAACACTGGTTAGTAATTCGGCAGGTTTGAATCTTCAGTCTTGAGATAGCATTATAACAAAATTGAAATTGCATACATCATACATATTTAAAAATTATAAAGGTAAACAATAAATTTTAACAAACTAACATTGTATCATTAAATGTAACTCTTCAAATTTCTTTTCATAAACCATAAAAAAATTCATTATATAATTCGTCTATTCCATTTTTGTAAAACGTAACTCATTTTATAAATGAGATATTGGCTACATAAATATTGACGAAGCTACTTTCACTACACAACACTATTAACTATATCTAAAATTCCATACAAAACTCATAAAATTTATTTTATATAAAAAATCACTCTACCAGTTCTAAATTGAACAACATATATAAAATTGTAAAAAGAACAGTTAACTCATTCTAAAGATATGTTTATTTTGTTTAATTTATCAAAATAAAAGTATTGCAAAAAGAAGAAAACGGGTTGTTAATATAAAATTATCAAAATTTATATTTACACAATACAGCCATATAAAAATTCATTTATAATACAACCTACAAAGGCAACGTAGGTAGGTACTTAACACTTTCCGATAACCATTGCTAGGAGGGCCATGCGAACGTAGACCCCACCCTCTGCTTGTCTAAAGTAGGCTGCTCTAGGATCAGAATCCAGCTCGGGAGATATTTCGAATACTCTCGGTAGCGGATGGAGCACCACCATTTTGCGTTTCGCTTGAGTCATCAACTGAGGCGTCAGCACTAACACTCCGCAGGCCTGATAAAAAAAATAAGGAAGTTGGATTTAAAATAAAAAATGTACATATTATGAATTGCCAATGTTATTGATTATTAATTTGTTTTAATTATAGAGATAAACAAAATAATATAAATTATAGAGAGACTATCATTGGTGAAAACAATCCTTATTTCCATATTATTTAAATTCTTTTATATCGATCAGAATTTTATATTAATAAAATAATTGGTTGTAAATAACCTACTGAAAGTTAATAGTAAATGATTAGTTTTGGCGGGAATAGGAGAATAGCCTTCCGCTTTTATATCCGGGGTTGAGGTTATTTACACTCGTGAATTATTAAAACAAAACCCCGGCACAGGATATAGACTTTTTTTTTAGGGTGTTGAACTGCAGTTGGGAATTTGGGAATCTAATACCTTTTGTTACACTGAGTGAGAAGAAACAACAAGAATACATATATGAAATGTGGGACTAAGTAAACACTTTGAATGAATTGACTCACCTGGTTTATTCTTCAATTGTGAGGCATATAGGACAACTAAATAAAATTACTATTCATTCCTTTCTAACAAAACAAATTTATTTTAACAACTGTAATAAGTGAATCTATTAAAGTGAACGGTCGGCTTGATAATCTCTGTCTTCAATGTAGTAAGCCTCTCTTCCCAGATGACGTCTTCTCGTGTTGGTGTCCAGGCCTCAAGTTCGTCTTCCTCCTCTCTTCTGACAACCTCCTTTCTACCTGTCCCAGCCTAGAATGCCTTCTCTTCTCTCCAGCTGTTGCTACCTGCTGGGTCCTTTCGGTACCTCCAACCTTCTTCCTTCTTTATCGATATGAGACTTTTCAAAGAACAATTTGTCCACTGCACAATTGAGTACAATTCACAGTGCAACCTCACATTCCTATATATTATCTATTCCTTCTCATTCCCTCACACAATGTCAACTAAAGGAGTAAACACAGGGGACTATTTACTACATGGTCAAGGGGGAAAACCTGGCGGTTGAGCGTGATTCTGGCTCGATCCCCTCCCTGTACAACGGTTGGGTCATAACAGTACTCTCCCTAAATCTTTTTTTTTTTACAATTGTGAATAAAAAATACTTGCTTTCCTTAGAACATTAGGAAAAAAATGAACAAAAGAGGATTCCAAATATTGTCCTAAATAAATAATTTCATTAGCATTTTTTTAAGATAAATAAACAAAATTGCTTCAGTTGATGTAACACTTTCAGTCTATTAAAAACCAAAACAAATGAAATTGAGCTATAAATATTATAGCTAAATAAAAAACCATATCTGTTTTTTCACGAAATTATCCGATTTCAACAATTTTTTTTTTTATATTTTATGAAATTTCGTAAAATTTTAAATGACCATATACTACAACATCGACAAAAAAGTGCATTCTTTTAGAGTTATTCGGAAATCTAATTTTACCATCCCTCGTAACTTTTTTCCCAACTTCTTTTCGTTGAAGTATGTTATATAGATAAATTCAAAGGGCATCGAGAAGAAGACTTTAACCAAGTTTCATTGAAATCTGTACTTCCGTTCAGGCACTACAGCATATATATATAAATAGTTTCTTAATTTATTTGGTAAAAAATATTGATTTTTCTATGCTATAGAGCATAGATATATAAATGCCGCTGGTATTCTGTAAAAAGGATGAATTCGACATATTAAGTATTTTTGTATTTTCATGGTCTTAGATTCATGACATGAATAGTTGATCTTGTGTAAAAATTGCGAATCTTATAACTTTCAAATATGAACATCTCCATCAGAGAAACCCCATTTACCTGAGGTAAAAACATTACTTTCTAAAAATTGTTGTCAAATATACTCTTATACAATCACGCTTTATACAGAATACCAATATATTTAAGAAAACAAAAAATAAATATATAAATTATTAACCAGTTTAATTTGTATATAGGCATAACCAGAATCAAAACATTTAAAATGAAAGTTGAGAATTCGCAAAAGAGATCCAAGAAAGAGCTCGCCTTTTAAAAGTTGAATAAAGATAATTGAAAACAAGAAGATGAAGGGAGAACGTTTAAGCTACTTGAGGTTTTCGTCAACTACTTTGATAAATGATTTATTTTAAACGTTAGAAGTAATTTTGTAAATAATAATATACACCATAGAACAGTACTGTAGTATTTAATTATATTATAAATGGATAAAGAATTCTCCTCCATATATGAGGATACAGTGTTTTTTTAAGATATAAATGATTTTTCTTTTGTGTGATAAAAAAATTCATAATTCAATATTTTATGACAATATAAAATCAGAATTATTAATTATTACATCCATGACACGCGATATGTTAAAGTAATATATCACAGGCATAAATCCAGCTAGAGGAGCTTTAATTCTCTTTGTGAATTTAACATTTAGTCTGATTTTAATTATGATATTGTTATGCAATTTCGTGAATTTTCCTTTCAGATTCGCTCTCATTACAAAAATTTGTCTGAAAATCGTAGATCTCAAAATATATAATTACTTCTAATATATTTAAACAGGATGATCGATTGTTCACATTATATCTATAAAAATTGCACTTACAGCACGGAAGCTCCTTAATTATTAAGCCAAGAAACAATATTGAAATTTAATAATTTACATTAACATTTAAATAATTAATTTAATAAAAAAGTTTAATTTTCTACCTTATTATATTCTTCTTCGGAAGCGAACCTTTCCCTCTGAATGCGCGTCATATAAACGACATCTGATTCAGGAAGAGCGTCTTCCAGAGAAGATATAGTACTTTGAGGAATTCCCTGTTTTCTGACAAACTCTGTAATCTCTTCTGGCATTCCGAGGCCAGGAGGCGTAACATAGCGCAATTGGACATCATATAGAGTCAGCAATCTGTCATATTAATAAGCATTATTAGTATGAATAAAAAATGGAGTGAATAAACAAAATATCGAAGAGGAAAAAAAAAATTAGTATATCATGGTCTCACAGGATAACCTATAGAAAAATTTAAAATAACCTCATATACACAAATGTATGTTTAAATTCTTTGGTAAGTAATAAATTCAGATAAAACAATGAATATATCACAGAAAATGTTTGTTGAGAATGCTGTCTGTTGAATATTTACCTAGCCAGAGAATGAGCTGTTCTTCCATGTTTAAGGTCGCCAACCAACGTTATTATCAGACCATTTACTGTTCCAATTTCTTCTCTGATCGTGAAAATGTCCAACAGCGCCTGAGTAGGGTGTTCACCAGTGCCGTCACCAGCGTTCAATATTGGTTTCCGGCAGTGCTGAGCAACCCTCTAAAAAAGCACCATAATCAATTTTATTATCTAAATAGTTTGAAAATGCAAAGTTTCTTTTTGAACAAAATTCATTTTTACAGAAATTAAAAATTATAATTATTATGAGACAAATTTTCTCCTAAGTGCAAAACTATTAAACAAATTCTAATAAATAACTTATTTGTATACAGTCCGTGGTACAGAACCCTTTTCATCAAATTATTAACATCCGCCTGAAACTTTGTAAATAGCTATATCTCATCATAATCTACAAATATTTTATTTACAAAATTTCTTAGAATTTTCACTATTCACTATTCAATGGACTCATTCAATTGAAATTGATGGATTATATTTTATGGATAAATTAATGCTGAGTTTACAAACTTAGGCTATCTATACATTAAGGAAAATCCCTTTATTGCAACTTTATCCTTTGTTATTAAAATAACCACCAACTTATGAATTAGTGCATGCGATTGGAAGATTATATAAAGAATCAAAATGTTAAAAAAAAACCAAGGAGGTATATTTGACAAAGTTCAAGATAATCTATCAGCCTATTGGGTTATTACTAAAATTGTTTGACTTTAGTAACAAGAACTTTAATCAATTGTTAATTTTCACTATCTCCAGACTGATGAATACTAGTGTAAAAGAAAATCGTCAATTACTGATATCATATCAAAAACCATTATAAGATGTGGTCGTTCGCAAGTGACAGTCCGTGGTACAGAACCCTTTTTATCAAATTATTAACATCTGACTGAAACTTCATAAATAGCTTCATCTTATCTTAACCTACAAATATTTTATTTACGAAAATTTTTGGAATTAGGGCATTTTAAATCTGGAGATCGGCAAACATTGTATATTTAATTAGGTATTAAAAACTCATCCGTACCCATTTGTTTTCCATTTGAATCGTAAAATAATTTGAGCACAAAATCGAGAAAAAATGTGTCCTTAAAAAATATTGAGCCGTATGGTGTGACCTACTCCCCAAAACATCAAAATAATTATAATTATAAATAATCAACATAATTATATAGAACAAACGGTCCAATATTTTTGTAGGCCACCTTGTTTATCGATTTTGTGATCAAATTATCTTATGATCTAAGTGGAAAGCAAATGTATATTTACAAGTTTTTAGTACCTAATGAAATAGACAAAGTTTTCTGATCTCCAGATTAAAAATGCTCCAACCCAATTCCAAGAGTTTTCGTAAATAAAATATTTGTAGGTTACAATGAGATGAAGCTATTTACGAAATTCCAGACAGACAAGTATTTAATATTTATTACCTCCTTTCACTATTTTAATGCATATGATAATGCTTATTATCATACTACTTTGTGCATATTATATGTAAGGCTAATTTTAATGGTTTTTCTTGCATATAAATCCAGGCCTTGGTTAAATAAATAACAGAATAGATAAAATCTTGACATTAGATCGTAATACTGACCATAACAGCTCCTGGCTCCGGATGCCGGATGACTACGACATCTGAATAGCCAGCCATTACGTTCACAGTATCTGTAAGAAAAACATTGTTAAAGTAACTTAATGATGAAAATAAACAGGTACAATTTCAATTGTTAAAAAATTAACCATAGTACACAAATACAGTTAGCATGCTTGATATGAAATTTCCAGAATTATAACTAATATATAAATAGAGTTTATAATTAACCATGAAAATAAAAGAAAATTCATCATGTAATATTATAAATCTAACGAGTTAGTCCTCAAGAACTTAAGTTAGAATTTTGGAGACTACAAAATTTAAATGTTCGACCATTTTAAAACATTTCGAAAAATGGATATTTTTATACATATATTATATATAAGGATGAAAACATTGTAAGTATTTGCAGTCGAAATATCTTTAATGAGTTAGCCGACATTTGATCCAAACGTGTTGTTCATTATCAGAGCTATAGTTTGGAAGTTGAGACAAGAACACCGAGTTCTGATGATGAGCCACATGTTTGGGTAGAAACGTCGGCTAACTCATTAAAGATATTTTGACTGCAAATCCTGAAATTTTTTCATCCTTATAACTTCATAATTTTAACAGTCAACTACTACCCCATCTCTAAAGTATTATATATTGTAACATCTCTCTTATATTTTACAAATAATAATATGATCTCATGGAAGATCACTTTATACTTTTGGGATACTTCCAAAAGAAATAAGAGATTGTTAAATAAAAAAAAACAAAATTATAAGAGTATTAATATATTAAATTGAAATTTATAATTATTTTAACTCAGTATGGGTTACTGACAATCAGATCAATTCAGACAAACTATTATTATTTATACTAAAATTAAACACACTATAATAGTGATTATAGATCTGATATTATATTTTATATTTATATAGAAAGTTGTAAAAGTTAACGGAGAGTGAAGAAAATTATAAATAATAATTTCTAAAAACTAACATTATTTAACGTAAATCAGGTGTTTTCAAGTTTGAAGGAGTATTTGAAAACCACAGATTCAAGGTAATGACATTGTTTAAGATACTATTAAATTGTACTTGTGTGAAAGAAGCAGTGAAATATAGAAATATTTCATGGATATGTTTATAATATATATGGATATATTTATAATCAAAACACTCAGACAAACTACTATTATTTACACTATTTATACTAAAATTAAACACTGATTTTAAAATAAAATCAAGTATGAATTGGCAAGCTAACCTTTTTTCAGTATACACTGTTTCTTCCTTCGGAGCCACCAATTTTGAAGGCTTCCTTCGAAACTATCGGGCCCTGCGTTTTTAAACCCAAAAGCGTACTGTTTTCAAGATAACACAAGGCATAGAGTTTGCATCCACACAACCTTACGTTAATTGTAGTATTGTCATTGAATGCATGTCTCATTTCGTCGACTTGAGGCCTCTATGATCGAGAGAGGGGAAGCTTATATTATTTATCGATGATGTTTTTGATCGGCAAGCCACATTATCGATAATTGTTCACCAAATCCCAAGATTGAGCCACCAATTTTGAAGGCTTCCTTTTCTTTCAGGCGTGCAAGATAGTCAAATTACCCCGAAAATTCAGGCAAATAAATTATGAAAGAAAAGAAACTTTATTTGCGAATAATTAAAAAAATACACACTTTTCCCTTGGTTATTTCCATGATTGTATAAAAGATAACTAAATTCCCTAAGGAAAAAAAAAAACATCGAAATCGGACAATTTTTAGCAAAGATATACCTTATTGAAATTTGTAAAAATTGTTGGTTCCAAACATTAATGAAATTTCCTTTGTCGATTATATTTATCGATATAGTAACAATTGATTTTTTTATCTTATGATAAGTTGTATTATTTTATTTTCTTATTAATTTGGCATTTGATCACTTAACAATATGTTGTACGAATTTTTCGTACGAGCCGGCTATTTATAATTATTCTTATTCCCAATTTTTTTTAACATAATATGGGAGAAATAATTCTTGGAATAAGAAGTGCGGTGTCTTCATTACAGTCTGTCCCGCATTGTATATGTAAAATAAATTAGGACAAAGTAACTAAATACTATATTATATAATAGAGAGAAATGAGAGGCATGATAGCATAAAGATTGTAATCACCTTCGAGAGATTCTCCCTTCTGAACCGAACTGCTTTGGCTGTCAACGTAGATCACACTTCCTCCGAGGCGATGCATTGCAGCTGAGAAGCTGCAACTGGTTCTTGTGCTAACTTCATAGAAAATAGAAGCCATTATCTTACCCTGCAAGCATCCATCATAAAATAAGACAAATAATAATTATTAAAAAAATACTGCCTATCAATAAAAAGTTTATATTTATATTATTCAAAATATAATACATTATGGTTCCCTACTCCTTGAGATGGCTATCAAAAACTTCAGGCACGAGAATTAAACTATGACAGAGCCAGGTCCGGACTATCTAGTGCACTCCCAACACAGAGCTCAGAGAACACCAATGTAACACCGATGCCCACATGACATCACTCGTGCCTGTAGGCAAACTTGTGTCTGCCTATTTCTTATATACTTAACAACAGATGAACGAGTTTTCAACTCAAACATTTTACAATTTATTTCTTAAATATATATATATTGAAAAATATAACAAGATGTTATAAGTATAAATGAATTATTTGAAATTAATAATTCATTTATGGAAATAATATTATAACTATTGTTTTGATTAATCTCTTTCTTTGGTAGTACAAAAAATGAATAGCACTGTTGGTAACAATGTATTTAACTTATTCCATAACTAGTTCAAATATAACCCACATCGCTTTTAATTAATTTTCAATTTTATTTTAAAAATGTGTTAATCTAAGAAAACTATATAAAATTAATAACATTTATCACACTTGGTGTTTATTCCTTTCCTGTAGAAATATGTACCATTAGTATTAGAAACAATAAAAAATCAAAAAGAACTTCATGTTCAATTGGAATAATTTCATGTGTTGCTTCAATTGCTTTTCCTTTTTTTTTTTTTTCTTTCAATAGCACCTTAATATTATGAGTATTTATAAGAAATCATTTTTCTTGTTCTATCGCCATGGTAACGAATTAACAATCTAATTTAATCCATCATAAGAGAGTATTATTAGTTATTTATACAAATTTTAAAGGTATAATATTTTTCATATGTCCTTGCTCAAATGCCAAATCTTATATTTTTCTGTCAGTTTTGATAAATAATAACAATATATTTAACAATTTATTAAATATTTTTATTAATAATTTGCAATTTAAATTAGAATTCTTGTAAGGGGAGGGAAATTTTTTTAAACATCCCATTTAAAAAGCTATAAATAAAATTTTGAAACACTCCATACTATTTTTTTTTATGTATTTATTTATTTATTTTATGCATAGTATCTGTATGCATTATGAATAAGGTTAGGAAAAGAGAGGAGAAAATCCAGGGAATGAGAAAAATGTATAAGGGGAGAGAAGGAAGAGAAAGGGATGTATAATGCTAATAAATGAATGAAAGAAATATTAAAAAAAAATAAATAAAAAGAAAATATAGGGAAAAAAATTATAATAAAAAAATATATATATATATAAAAAAAATTGTATACTATGCTCATACATATTGTTAATACTATATAATTGTATATTAGTTTTGGAAAATTGTCTGTAGCGATTAATAAGTATGCTGTGTCTAAAGCAACCCAATGTAATTGGGCAGCACCCTTTTATGATAATAAAGTGATTCTCTCTCAACAATAGAAACCAGCAGTTAATTGTATTCTCAAAGAATGGTCAAATATATACTAATTCAACACAATCATAATAATTGTAATTTAAAATCGAATTTTCGAAGCCAATTTTAAGATTTAATCGACAATAATTGAGATTAAATAACCAAATATTTGAAATTAAAGGAGGTAATTAAAATAATAAAATATAGCAAAGATTACAATTATACCTTGAGCAAGTGATCGATACTTCTTTCCTTTTGTACATATGTCCTGAAGGCCTGGGCAAGATTAAAGATCTCATTGAGAGACTCCTTAGTGAACATGTTGACTGATAGGACATGCTGGTGTTGAAGGCAGTGAGTAGGCCTTGCGATTACACTGTCCAACGGCTTAGCTTTGGTCGGAGGGAACAGATTCGGTGATAGCGGACGGATAGATATGTCGCCACTGCCGCTCCACCTATGGGCAGGGCCTTCCAGAGCTGAAGATACATTCACTGCAAAATAAAATTATATTAATTAATGCATAAATCAGAGTATAAATTTATTAGTAACATTTTATTGTGATAATCAAGTAAATATGAAAAAGTAGGTGAATATATGGAGAAAAATGAGAATTGAAGGTTGCGGAAGCGGTAAAAAATTATAACTGTTTATATGTAAACAGTACACCTTTTTAGGTTATGTTGCAGGCTCTATCAAGGACTAAGAAAACATGAGAATAATTTTTTTTATTACAGCATTAATGCACTATAGCATCATTAGGGCCTATTTTGCACCATTTTATTTTCTGTTAATAAACAGACCAATAGATTTTGTGAACTTTTTAATATATACTGTTTAATATATACACTGAAAGGCAAAAAATTCCACCCACTTGATTTTTTCATGTTTTCATCTAAAAATATTTCTGCTTTGGATTGGTCTATTGTTTTTAATGAATAAATAGGTAATCTTTTTGTTTGTTTTCAATTAGGAATGTTAATATAGAGGACAATAACCCTTAATCCTCAATTCAATGAAATGATTCTAGATTCCAATGTTTACTTTCTATGGAATCAAAATGTTTATTTAGTATCGTTAGTTCAGTGCCGTTTCTTGCAGCACATTTCTTAGTCTCCGGCTTTTAATTTTTTCAATATTAAGTTTAAAAATGCCTCTTAGTGCATCTCTCTCGGGAAACTGGTTCTTACAATAGAAGGCCCGGTTCTGGACGGCCTAGGGTAACAAAACCACGGGATGACCGGTTTTTTACTTTGAGAATTTTATGAAACCGGCACCTTACCCTTGTTCAAGCGATTCATCAGCTTGAAGAAGTTCGAGGTATGCAAATTTCTGAACGTACCGCTCGGAGAAGATTAAATGAGTATGGATTAATGGCTTTTTGTCCAGCAAGAGGACCAGAGTTGACCAGAACTCACAGAGTAACATGGCTGGCTTTTGCTCGAGAACACAGCCATTGGACTATGGACAAATGGAGTGCTGTACTTTTTACAGATGAGTCAAGATTCGCTCTTCGATCTCCAGACAGGCATGAAAGAGTGCGGAGAAGAAGAAACGAAAGATATGCAGCCTGTAATTTTCCCAGAGCCAACCTTTCCAATGTGGTTCCTTAATGGGTAACAAGTGGGTGGAATTTTTTGCCTGTCAATGTGTATATATATATACTATTGGGTTCAATTCAATTGCAGAGCTTAAGATCAATAATGCAGTCGCAACTAAAATGGAAATAACGCATCCTAATCAGAACATCACGCCGATGCATTATGTGGTAGGCGTTTTCATCCTCTGTACCACAGAATCTCCGTGCCTCAATTAATTCCAGATTAAAGAAGTGTTTATTCTGTAGATAGTGACCCATTTACAGTCCTGGCGCACACCTTAACTTAAAGTGGGTCAGGGTCCTTCCAGGGATAAATCATTTGAGAATGGCAGTGCAGAATCAAGACCCCTCTAAGCCAATAATGTCTCAGAAGAGGAAGAGAAAGAAGAAAGTCGAAAAACAAAAAATACCAAGTTCTGATAATTTTAAGTACTCACAATGTTCATGATCGAAATGGTGCTTATCGTGCATATCCAGAACAGAACCAGGGCGGCTGGGAATTTGCTCTGGCGTAGACAAAAGAGTGACTATTTTAGGAGCCTTCATCTCTCGCACATCCTGGCCAAAACCTGGGTTCACTAGTACCTAGAGGACAAATAGCAAAACCTTAAATATCGACAAATAAGTTATTCATTTTATAAAGTTTATATTACATTATAATTGGGAAATTCCTATTTTTTTTTTTTTTGTTCTCCCTTTTCTCTCGCCTAATAGGTTATATGGAGGTTTTCCCTGGCCAAGAGGTGAGGGCGAGGGATTAATGCCAGAGTTAAAATACCCCCTCAGCAATGGAATCCGAACCTGTAATTATTTTTTAATCAAATTATCTCATATATACCTGCTTAAGATTTGTCTTCGGTACATCGAGGCGGTCTCATGTGTCCCACCTTTACGACAAGCTAAAGTGGCTCTTCCCTTCTTTCCGTAGACAATATTTCCTTGGATCTTTCCTATTCCAAACGATCAACACCCGACACCCTTCCTACATCTACAGTCTCCTACAGTTCAAACCCGTGGTCCACTCCCAGAAAACAAGATCCCGTGTTTCCGATCTTTATATCCCTTCCCATTGAACTAAGACGTTTGAATCTTCCTTTATTGCCCGATCCACTGCCTTCTGGAATTCCTTGCCATCTGATATCCGCATGCCTCTTCCTTTTCCTCATTTAAATATCATCTTTACCAATTCCTTCTCCTATCCCAAAATGACGTTATACCATGAAATAAATATTGCGAAACAGATTTTGACTGAGGTGAATGGTTGTTAAAATTGATTGAATATTAATTTTAAAAATCAACCCATGTTTATTTTATTTTCATTTAAATAATGTTTTTTTTATTATTTTTTTTTTTTCATAATGGTGTTATTTTTACTTATTTTAATATAATTTTACTGAAGATACTGTATATATTCTTTAATATTGACTAATGTAATTTTTGGCCAGATGTAGTTTTTATTTTTTTTTGTTCATACCTGTTATTCATAAGGGACCTCGCCCCAGAATAAAGTTTACTTTCTATCTATCTATATCAGGTTGCTATAAAGCCGGTAATCTCTAAAATATAGGTGAAAAGTTAAACTACCAACGTTTTGTCAAAAGAGATATCATCAGCACAGAAATCTTTCTGTGTTAATGGAACAGTATATATTTGGATTGCTAGGTGAGACGTCAATCGAATATTTTTTTCTTTCTTCTTTACGCATATACGTGACTTTTCTTCTGTTTTTTCTTTCCTGATGATGGCTGATTTGGCAAAACGTTGGCTAGTTGACTATTCACCTATATTTTAGATACTCGTGGCTTAATAATGTAATCACTGTGTGCATCTTTTCAATTATTATAGTAAACATTTTAACCTTTATAAGATTAAAAGATTTAAAAAATTAAGTGGGTCACTCTCGAGATACGACCAAACCTACTCTAACCAGAGTGGAAGGGCATTCCGTGAGTCGACCATTAAATAAATTTCAGGCCTGTTTCAAACCACTGTAAGGCTCAAGAATTCTTAAGTTTATATTTCAACATCCTCGGCCATCACAATCTTTTTTTTTCCCACTAATTATACATACTTGCTCCAATCACCTCTTTAAAACTGTCCCTACTATTCCAACTCTGTTCCTACATAATAACCCCATCAAATTTCACCCCACCATAAAAAATCTTGGAATAACCATTGATCAAACGCTTTCTTGGAAAAATCATATATCCAATATTTCCCGCCGTACCATTTCCATCCTAAAACGTCTTAACTACTCTCGTCACCTATTTCCTTTTGAAACCCGAAGGCTCCTAGTCACTTCCTTAATTTTTCCCCACTTTGACTATTGCTGTACGGTATATGGTGGCCTCTCTGGGGATCTCGAGGCGAAACTAAAACGTTTGATAAATTGCTTTGTACGATTCATCTTCGGGATCCCAAGGGACGCCTCTGTTTCCCATCTTTACGCGGAGTTAAATTGGATTTATCCTTCCTACCGTCGTAAGTATTTCCTGGCATCCTTCCTCTTTCAAGTCATCCAATCCCACCGTCCCTCATACATCTCCGAGCTCCTTCAATTCAAATCCTCTGTTCGTTCCCGCAATACTCGTTCCCGGTCTTCTGATTTATACATAAGGGTCCACCGAACCGCTGCTTTCGACAAATCGTTCATTATCCGATCCTCATCTCTATGGAACTCCATCCCTTCCCATATCCGTCAATCTAATACCCTTCCTATCTTTAAATCCCGCCTGTTCAATCATTTCTTATCCATCCAGTCCCCATAAAATCGTAAATAGATACTACTGAAAATATGTACATAAGTTATTAGTTCGTTCTTCATTATTTGTTCTCCAATTTTTGCTTATCTATTTTTTTGTTTTTTTTCTCTTTTATTATCAACTGATCAAAATTGGAAAGCAACTTATATGTATATGTGTATATATATATATATATATATATATATATATATATATATATATATTATTTTTTTAACCAAGACTGTTCAATTACTCTGTATTTTTATTTATATATCTCTGAGGCTCCTTAGCCCTCATCTCTGTCTTCCTGTATTATTCTAAAGGGACTCGTCCCAGAATAAATAAAGTATTATTATTATTATTATTATTATTATTATTACTTCCATTTAACCATTATTAATTGACACTTCTTAAATTAACGTTTACAAGAAATGAATCTTTACAATGAACTATTATAAGGACACGTATTGCCAAAAATTCACTAATTATTAATTACTATTAGGTCAGTCGCTCACCTTTCCTTCGACGTAGGCCACCTCTCCCCTGAGGACAACCCTATGAACGCTGCCTTTAACCTTCATGCCTGCAAACGGAGTCCATCTAGCTTTGCTAAATGGTGGACAGTCTGGAATAGTCCATTCCATATCCATATCTACCTCAATGTATGTATTCGGTTGTTCTGGCAGGCTGAAGATTCTTCGTGGATTACGATGCATTTTGTCGATCAGATCCTTAAAAAAAAAAATTATAAAATAAATTTTTATCAAACAACAAAAATAGATTAATAAGACATTTAAAAGAATATCTGACAATACAAATGCTTTGTAATTGCATGGTTTACAAAAGTAACTAGGAGTTAATAAATTTTAGCAATAGAAATATAAAAACAATAACAAGAATTGATAGGCTGCCTATATAGTCAGTTTAATTTTAATTCAGGTTGAAGAGCATAAGAAAGTCTCGGTTAATATTTTTGCTAGCTTAAGTTAGACAACAAGAGAAGATTTCAATGTACAGATATATGAACCATATTCAACTCTATTTGTAAAAGCACTAAAGTATTAGTGAAAAACATTTCAGTATTATATTAAATTAAAACAGAAAAAATAGAATTATGTAGTAATATTACTTAAATGATTTTAGGCCACAAGTCATCAATATTTTTTCTTTTAATCTTCTTTTTCTATAGCTAAAATTTCGACTTCAACAGCCATTTCAAGTATGAACTACCACGAATCTTTGCTATATTTGTTCTATTTTTAAACAAAATATATCTTTCTAATGCATAACCTTTATTCTTATTCCGGCAAAGTTCATTAATATTTGTTGAGTTCTCGTGTCCAATTTAGTTTTCTCTTTGCAGGTAACTTATGAAATAAATGTAGTGTAGATGGATGATAGTTTGTATTTATGAATGGCTCTTGAAGCCGAAACGTCAGTAACAATAAAAGAATGTTGGTAAGCTTTGAAAAAATATTATTTAAATAATAAAAAACAGCGTTAATATTTGAAGGATAATAATAAAAAATGTTATATTAAGACAAAAGATAATGTTAAAATATTTTCATCAAAAAATTAAATTAAATTTGATTGAAAACGATTTCATAGGAAATTCAAAAGATATAAAATAAACAACATGAACAATGAGGAAGCGAGACATACTTCAATAGTTAGCTTGCCTTCGTTGACCGCTGTCAGCAGAAGGGGAAGGATAGTCTCCAAGCCTGGGAATCCAGGAGGCGCATTCTCGCTTGTCTTCTCTTCAATCGTATGTGGTGCATGATCAGTAGCAAAGCAGTCGATGATATCTAAATTGTCCCAAAGAGCCTGACGATCCTCTTCAGAGCAGAGGACTGGTCGTACCTGACTTTTGTTAGGACCAAGTCGCTCGATAGCTATGTCTCCAGTAAGGAAAAGGTGATGGGGGCAAACCTCACATGTTACAGGGAGTCCCTAATGCATAAAAAAAATAATCAATCATACATCTTCTCAACTTCGAAAACAATTTCATTCAAATTAATCAACAAATTACCTTTTCTTTGGCTGCTCTAATGATTTGTATCTCTTCTTTTCTAGCTACGTGGCAGACATGGATCGGTCGATTGTGTAGTGTTGCCAACAAGAGTACAGCAGCAGTTGTCTGTCCCTCGGCATGTACGCAGAGTGGGTATTTTTTGGGCCAGTTGTCGAAATGCTGTGAATTAAAAGAGTTTGAGAATTATCCTACATAATGAATTACTTAAAACAGTAACGATACACAATAAAATAATCTTACCTTTATCCAAAATGTAAGATCAGGAAGCCTCAGTGTATTAAATGTCTCGTTCAAGTACATCTTGAGACCAGCAGCGTGAGGAGCTAGCTCCGTTATGAAATTGTAATTGTCTTCTGTAGCGCCTAAGAATATAGCATAGTCGCAATGGGCTTTGCTTCCGGCCAGCTAAAACAAAGATTAATATATATTACACAATGTAGTATACTCTAATAAGCCATTTATAATATAATTTGAAAAATTGTCAAAAAACATTTTATCTAGTTGTAGAAATGAAGACATGCTGGTACATTATCCTGTTAAATCATCAGTTATTAATTTTTTTTTTTGTTTATCATAGTTTATTAAGAGTCAATAAGTTTCATTAGCCTCTTTAGATTATAGGTGTGAATTTTTATGACAGCATCTTTATGACATATTTATAGTTATTTTAAATAGTTTTATGAAATTTTCACGCCTCAAAGAATGTGAATATTAATGTTTTTCTTAATATTTGGTTTTCAATTTTTTTCTTTTTTTTTAATGAATTGTATTAATAAAATATAATTCAAAGTGAAAGTTTGATATTATTCTATTTCTTTCTGTTAAAGGAATTTAAGAATTTAAATTTAATTTAAGAAGCCATAAATATGAAGAAGAATTTATGAAGAGAAGAATAGTTGGAGTGGTCAGACAAAAAGGAGGCAAAAATAAATGATAATATTTATTTTTACATATGCCGACGTTTCGACCTGACCGACGTTTCAACCTTTTTTGACTGACCACCCCAACTATTCTTCTCTTCATTATCCACGACAGTCAACCATTTACCAATTATGAACAAGAATTTAGGCATTTTAAGTGCCAGGTTATGAGGGTAACGATGCAAGCTGTCTTGGTGTACAAAATTTCAAATACTCATTTGAATAATCTTAAGATACAACAAATGAAAATAATTATGAAATCTAAAACGCTTGATAAATTGCTTTGTACAATTCATTTTTGGGATCCCAAAGGACGCCTCTGTTTCCCGTTTTTATGTAGAGTTGAAGTGGCTTTTTCCTTCCTACCGTTGTAATTATTTCCTGGCATCCTTCCTCTTTCAAGTCATCCAATCCCACCGTCCTTCATACATCTCCGAGCTCCTTCAATCGAAATCCTCTGTTCGCTCCCGCAATACTCGTTCCAGGTCTTCTGATTAAAATAAATTACAGGTCTCTCATAAGGGCCCACCGAACCGCTGCTTTCGACAGATCGTTCATTATCCGATCCTCATACTTATGGAACTCCATCCCTTCCCACATCCGTCAATCCAATACCTTCCTACCTTTAAATCCCGCCTGTTCAATCATTTCTTATCCACCCAGTCCTCATAAAACTGTAAATAGATACCACTGTAAATATGTTTATAAAGTATTAGATGGTTCTTCATTATTTTTAATTTTTTATTATTAACATATTTAAGTAAGAAAGTAACATATAATTTTTAATATGACTATTTCACTACTCAACATTTCTTTTTATGCATCTCTGAGGCTCCTTAGCCCAAATTACTGTCCTTATGTATTATTCTAAAGGGACTTGTCCCAGAATAAATAAAGTATTATTATTAAAATAAGAGTAGTTAAATTGAATATAAATGGAATAATATTGTAAATCATGAACTATAAATTAATTAAAAACTAAAAGGTATTGATCAGAATTATGATATATTTTTAAACATGACTTTTTTTTTTATTGTCCCTGACAACTAGTGTTACATGTACCATAGTTTGGGGACCCAGATAACATCTTTAAATAGCTGTAATTTCATGATGATTAATTTAATAATTTAACATATTCGTTTAAAATATAATATGGAAATCTTACTTCTTTAACAACAGCAAACGTATCCTTGTCAACGCAGGCAGGAATAGTGTTCGGCATTGCGCAGATAAGTGTGAGACCTCCCGAGAGGGCTGCTGCTGTACAGCTGGCAAAGTCCTCCTTGTACTCCGCACCAGGCTCCCTCGCGTGAACGTGAACGTCGATCAAGCCTGGCAATCTGATGATGTTCCTCGAAGTGAGGCAATCTGTGTGCGTTTTCATCGGAGGCTCTTGCTTGATTCGCAACATTGCCTAAAACAACAGAGTTTTAAGCTGAACATGTGTATTATATAATTAATAGTTATGAAAAAAAAAACAAAAAAAAAACCTTATTAGGGTACCATTGATGGACATAGCTAAGGAAATTTTTATTTGTTTGGCTTATGCCACTGTAATTATTATAAACTTCTCTCTTGGACATTTAGAATTTCTCGGGTCTCCTTTATCTATATAACACTTTAAAATTGAAAAAAATATTCATTTATGCAGTATCGTCATAAACCTATGACTTCCTGTCCTACAGTATCCTTTTATAACATCCCACTTATCCCTGTTGAACAAATACGATATCTTGGACTCCACCTGGACAAACGTCTCACTTGGAATCCTCATACAAGACTGAAACGACAAGAAACTGCTCGACGTTTCCGCTTATTGCAACACTCACTAGAAATGCTCTACACTTTCTATTAATTACAAAAGACTAATATACATGACTATAAGACCTATTTGGACTTACGGAGTTGAGCTATGGGGCTCGACTAAACCATCAAATTCCTCTTGTATCCAATCCTTACAATCCAAAATCCTCAATGCTCCTTACTTTGTCACAAATAAAATAATCCATAATGACCTTAATGTTCCATATGTATCCGATTTGGCCCAATCCAGATACCTATCCTTCCATAATAAACTTCATAACCATTCGAATCTTCTTGTTTCTAACCTTGCTTCCTCTTCGATTCCTGATAACTCCCCGAGGCATCTGAAAAGAAGATGGCCTCGTGATCTCCTTATGTAGACATATTATTAGAGTGCTACCTGTGGGTAGGTTCTCAACAAGCATTCTCAAGTGATTACATTCTTGTGTACACATTTGCTTGATGTATTTATATTGTAATACAGTTATAAATATCTTGAATAAATGGTTAAATTTATGCAGTTATAATCTCCATTAAAAAAAAAAAACACCTTTTTGCACTAGTGATAAACACCCCAAAATTCAATTGTTCTAGTAATAGACAGGGAGTCTGTACCAGTAATGGACATACCTCAGAAAAATTCTAAAATCTTTATTTAACTATAAAGATAAAATAACATAAATGTTCAACTTATTCTTAGCAAAACTGTTCGTAGAAAGGTATGAAACAAATGATCTCACAAGTACTATAGAAACAACAATGATAGGAATTTTAAAATTTTCTTTTGGAAACTTTGTTCATACAGTTGTCAATAGAGGGCATTGTTATTCAACCTAGACAAAACTGGAACCTTTAAATCAACAAGGAAGCTTATTTACATTTAAAGTCCAACCTATCCATCCATCACTGGATCCCCTGTCCATAACAGGTGCGTTCACGCTAGTGCTTGGTAAAGAAGTTCTCTTTCTTGATTACAAATAATAATTGCCAAGCATGACAATATTATTGTAAACCAAATTTATCTATTTTCATCTTTTGCTTTTTAAATGTTAAGTTTATAACATTACCTATATGAGACAAAACGTTTTACTTTACTACCTATACTAGGTAAGGAAAGTATTGCAATCAGGTCAAATTTCCGATATGCGGTTTTCAACGAATCCATATGTTTCAGAGCCCCCTGAGTCCGAAAAACACGTTTATGCCATTGGTCTGTCTGTCCGTGCCAAGATTTTCTCGGGAACTACAGAACCGATTTTTTTGTTTCTTTTTTTATTTTGTAGGGTTTTGACTACTGATGCCTGTGACAGAAATTGGGTGCTCCATGCGCAATAGCTGCTGCACAATAAATGAAAAACATGTTTTTCTCTAGACTGTAGCCCGAAAACGGCTCTAACGATTTTGATGAAACTTTTCAATATTTTTTTAATTAGTGTTCTTTTAATTTTTGTAAATGAACTCAATTCTTGAGAAAATTCAGAAAAAAAAATTATAAAGAAAAATGGTTTGGGGCCTAACTCATTAAGTATGTATTATACGGTAGAATTTATATGAAAACTTTTGAAAGATAATTTAATTACTGACAAAAAAAAAAAAAAAATCATTGGAATCGAACCAGTATTGGTGAAGATACTGCGTATATTATTTTCTATACATGTTTTAATTTATTACTTTCCTATCTATACTAGGTAAGGAAAGTATTGCGATCGGGTCAAATTTCTGACATGCGGTTTTCAATGGATCTATACATTTCAACGCCCCTTGAGCTCAAAAAACACTTTTCAGCCTGTTTTTTTTTTAAAGGTTACGAAACTCTTTCATTTCAGAGAACTATTAACAAAGTTACAGCTATTCAATTTTGTATGTAAGAATACGGATCTAAGTGTTGAACGCGAGAAAATAAAGAAAAGTAAGTTAAAGTAAGAAAATCTGTTGCCCGCATCACACAAGTTTTCTCTCGACTTTTAACAGAAATTATTGTTTGACAAAATTGGGCTAAGGTAAAAAAGTTTTGGATTAGCAATATTATAGTGCATTGAATTTTTTACACTGATCTTCTACAGGTCGGTTTACATTGCTTTAGTTTATGTAAGAAACCGTACTTAAATGTTTTCTTTGATCAATTTTCTGGAAAATAAATCTAATTAATTTTTTTTTTTGTTTCTTAATGGGCACATTTAAAGATATAAAAACTTTTCTGAAATAGGTAGGGAAGTCATGTGAATGGACTAGATTTTTTAATCTTAAGTTTATAACATTACCTTTAAGAGATAAAACTTTAATACATAAGAAATTTATTTTTTCTGGATGAGTGTTTTCTTAAAATCATTGAATAAAGAAAAGAATACTCACAAAAAAAGTTTCCATAATCTACTATTAATATTGTAAGTGAATTATATTTTCAGATCAATCTGAACACATAAAAGCTTGAAATATGAGCCCTCAACTGCCTGGGAATCACAGTTCTTAATATCAGTGTTGCTTCTGAGTCAACACAACTTTCAGATAAGTTTTTCATAAATGAATTTTTAACACTGAATATCAAGTTTATGAATATAGTTGGCCGTTGTTATTTAGATTTAATTTCATTTTCAATAATGCAAGTCATTTATATATTTTAAAACCGTTATTAACTTATATACTGTTCCCGCTATTTTATTATTGTTTAGTTCATCACTCTATTACTTTTGTTTTATAACTTCCTAATTTTTTTCTGTCATTTCATAAGTTCCTAACTTTGTTACCGTTACTTTATACATTTTAACTTTGCTACTGTTGTTATATAAGTTCCAGGTTTGTTACCGTAACTTTATAACTTCCAAATTAATTTTTATATCATATATATTTCCCATTCCATACATTTATTAATGTAAAGTTTAACTACCTAAATATTACTTTACTATACTAGTTAAAGTAATGAATGTGTAATGTTAAACATGCTCACATTCGTTACTGTAACGCCGACAATAATGGTGCCGACAATATCTGCTCTAACAAAACATTAACTGAAATACAACAAAAATTGTTATTATTGAAACATAAAAATTTAACTTATTTTTTAAGAAATAATCCATGAGGAAAAATTATATTGGTTCTTAGGTTTCTATAACTGATGACACCTCTTTCATAGGTAAATATTTAATTAGTATTAAATATCCATTTATAGATGAGATCATCCATTTTACAAAAACAACATCCGTTTCAATTAATTTTATCTTAATAAATTTATTTTAGTTTTAAATATAATTTTAATCAAATGATAAAATGTTTTTAATCCAGTGTCATATCAATGAGATGGTTGTTGAGAAAGTTTATTGATTATAAATAATATATATCTACTATCAGGTATGTTAAAATATTATATAAATAGAATTATTCTTGATAACATATTAAAATAATTGTAATATATCAATAACATAATAAATTGTCCTTGGAGAAACCCGAAACATCGACTAGTGAATCATAAATAAATATTTACCATTGGAAGAGGTGTCTTCAATTATAAAAACCTAAGAATAAAACTTCAAATTTTGAGGATTAAGTTTTTTTTTTTTATGTTTCGATTTCTTGCTCGAAATGTATCTAGTTGATTATTTCAAGGAATGGATTATGGATGTGTTTTTTTTTAATGAGAATTATGATTAATATATACAAAACTGGTAAAATATCACACGTGTCATTTCTGCAATAATCTATTCAATTACTTCATTTGTATTTTTGAAAAAAATGATTAGATGCAAAAAAAATTATAATAAAATAGAAGTAATGGTATTCTTATAGTCAACATATCTAATGAAATACAACTAAAAAGAAAAAATTGACTGAAATACAAGAACAATAATTTAAATGAAAATATTTCAATTAATAACACAAAAAAAATTTAAATAAACAGAAGGCGGATCTACTTGTAACAAAATAATTAATAATTAAATTATTACAAAAAATTAATTAAAATTACCTGAAATGTATCTATAAATGAATACATAAAAAAAACATAAACAAAACAAACGACCGCTGCAACATAAAGAATGAGAAGTCAACTGACGCTGATAGTATTCTTTAGAAGAGCTATCTTGATAGTACGACAGAGAACTAGGAGATAACTAAAAATAAACTCTATAAATAGGAATAAAACTTACAGCTTTCTCAAATCCAATGTATCTAATAGAAAAAATAAAAGAAATATTTATCTAAATTTAAAGTTTAATAAATAATTTGAATAAAATCAATTCTTATTAAACAGAGAGGAATATCTTTGAATAGTCAAATAATACATTGTTACTAATAAAAATATTTACATGTAAAATAAGAGTAAAATGTTTATTTAAAGAGTTAACTTCGATAAAGATTAACTAATATGGTAATATTTAGTCTGGAACAAATAATCCCATGATGTATATTTGGTAGAAAATAACCCTTGCAAGTTTATTAATTAATTAATAATTTTAAATATAATACAATTCAATTAAACTGACTCATAAGAATGAAATAAATCTGGTACGGCTACACTACACAAATTTTATTAACCTAACTAATTAAATTCTGGCTCAAATAGTACTGATTAATATCATTAATAGCTATTACTTTTATAAACCCATAAACACTACTTGAAATATTTTGAGTAACATGCACTTCTCTCACTAGAGTTCAATAAAATCGTTTTTAAAAAATGTGATGCATATTATATATTTGTTTTTTTGAGCTTTAAAATAATTTTGAAAGTTTAGATTTGGTATGGAAATTGCATTTAGCTTCAATTTACATATGGTTTCTGTTAAGTAAAGCTTTCAGAAATTATTATTCATAAAAGAAAGACCGATAATAATTTAAAATAAATCATGTTAGAGGTACTTGGGTCTTGTTTAGATTAGCGCCGTCAGTGAATTTTAAATGATATTTAGTAACAGTTGTTACGAAACTTGATACCATTGATATAAAAATAAAATCACATGTTTAAATATTATTTAATTTAGTATTGTTTGTGTCATTGCGGTAATAAAGTGATAACATAATGAATATTTTTGAAGTTTACTATTTATGCAAAGAAGAGGAATGAGCCAGAATTTTCTTTGAAGAAAGAGGAATTCTACCTAAGGAAAGCTATTGTAAGACTCGTATTTATGTGAGTTCATGTGGAGGCAGAGAAACTCAAATGGAAATAAAAATTTAAAAAATCATTTCAATCTCTAATTTGCAACTCTTTATAAAAAAAAAAAAAGTGATTATTTACCTCAACTAATAACTTGGCACACTTGACATCAGTTACAAGAGGCACGCTATATTCGACTGCAAGCCTCCTAGTGCGGTAGCCGTAGGTCAGGAACGAGGAGACCCTTCGAGTACCACGGATCCTCATCGGAAGGTTGATGACGAGATCGAAATCTCTGCGAGCCAAAAAGTCGGCCAGGTGGTTCAGCTCGCCGCTGGTAGTGGCCTCGCCAATATTTTCGAATGTCCATTGCACAGGTTCGACCTACAAAAATTAAGAAGTCCATGAATAGTAAATTATTATGAATGAATTATCAAAAAGGTAAATAATATAATAACTAATTATTAATTTATGGTGTTTAATAAATTAGGTGATTCCCAAACTCTAACTGATTCCCATAAAGTTTGAATAAATAGTGTGAGGGAGGGCCTATTTGGAGAATTGGAGCTGCGAACTATCAGCGGTGGCTACACTGATTTGAGGATACAGTAGGAAGGTTTTTTTTTTTTTTTTTTTTTTTGTTCTTCCCTACCTCGCCTTTTAGACTATACGGGATTTTCCCGGGCCGGAGGGTGATGGCAGGGAATTTAAAATCCCCTCCGGCACCGGGACGCGAACTCGTACTTTTTATATCATCTCAAATCTCTGTTATCCGGTTGCCAGGCAACTAGCGGTGCTGTTACACACGTTTTAGCCTATTCGGCCACCCCGCCCCCTAGTAGGAAGGTTTGAAAAACTGGTGAAGGAACGATATTAACACTACAATCTGTTGCATAGAATTCAACAGAAGAATACACCTTTATTAGGAGAAATCCCCATGAGCAGGTAACACATTTTCTGATGTATTTCGCAAACAAACTAAACTACGTTGTGTAGTTCAGTAATGAGAGGTCGTTCTCATTATCGATTTCCTATCAACCTTATGAATTGATCGGCATAGAAGAATTATATAGTTGTTTCTTTTCAGCGGAGATATCTTGCTAGGACGACAAAGAATACGATACCTTCTGGAGGTTGACGTCTGATTGGGAGTTGGACTATTTTTGCCTATGATATTATTTTACCATATTTATTTCTCGAGCATCTTACTAATCATCATTACATAGACATGTATCTAGCATATTGCATGTTGCATATTGTTATTTATATGTATATTGTTATTTCGATAGATTTTTTATTAATGAGTTTCTATTTATTGTGAATGTAAATTGATTGTTAAAATATTTATTGTAGATAGTATTTAGTAGGCTATATTTATTAACTTTGTAGTAAATAACCTATTAAAGTTAATTGTAAATATTCCTTCCGCTTTGTCAGGGGACTAGGTTATTTACATTCATGAATTTAATTTTCTTAAAACAAAATCCCGGCACTGGATATAGACTTTTTGACCGAGTTTAACTATCATTGGGAATTTGGGAACCTAATGCTTTTTGTGACATTGAGTGAAAAGAAATAATAAGAATATATATATATATATATATATATATACATGAAATGTGGGATTGAGTAAATACACTTTGGATGAATTGACTCACCTGGTTTTTTATTCTTCAATTGTGAGGCCTATGGGACAACTAAATAAATAAATGACTTTTCACTCCTGTCTAACAAAACAATTTATTTTACCATTGTAATAAGTGAATCTATTTAAGTCTTATAACTTTAGGATTGATCTTCTTAATCTTCAGTGCAGTGCCTCTCTCTTCTGATAATCTCCTTTCTTCCTGTCTCGACCTAGAGTGAGTTCTCTTTTCTCCAGCTGCTGCTACCTGCTCGGTCCTTTTCCAACCTTCTTCGTACTTTGTCGATCGTTAATCTATATGAGACTTTTCAATGATTAATTTGTCCACTGCAGGATTGAGTACAATTCATAGTGTAACCTCACATTCCTATATCTTCCTTCTCATTCCCTCACACAATGTCACATAAAAGAGTAAATACTAGAGGCTATCTACTACATTGTATATAATTTAGCTTATATTTATTTTTAACGCCACATACTCTCATATCTTTATTTTTTTAGTGTTATTTTTTCTCACCATTTACCCCTTCTTAAGTGTTAACAGTAAAATGTTTATTTTTTTTTTTGGTAAAAACTGAGGGATGTTGTCCCTAAAATGTATTTAAGTTTATATTATTTATATAGTTGGCTTCGTTTGCGATGTTATCGCGTTTGTGTATACGCTCCAGCCCAGCAGTAATACCCTGTCTTAGGGATTAAGACACAAATAATGCCATAATATTGTCGGGATGCGGTCTTAAGCCAGTCTGGAAGTAACCTTTATTGACAATAGACGTGTAGTGGACGTCTACCCCCACCAGTCCAGACTCACTTCACCTCGACTCACCAGTCTAGCGCCATTTTCGAAGATCTACTTTTGGGCGCAGCTGAGTAGTCGATCGAGATCGATACCACCCCACCATCGATTACTTGACAGCTAGATATCGGAAGGTAACAGGTTGGAAGCAGAACCTCCAACTTGGCTCATTTTGTTTTATATTCTCACCATCACGGAGATATTTAAATATTAATTTGAATTGTTTTATTCGCTAAATTAGTTATTCTTTTTGGACAGTTATTTTTTTTCTCTTGTCTTATCTATAATTTTGAAGTTGAGTTTATTTATATTTTGTTATTGATGGTTAATTTTCACTGGATATTGTATTTATCTTTTATTTTTCTCGTAACTTTCCAGTATTGTTCATTTCAACTTTTGTATAATTTTATAAATCTTTTATCCCAATAAATTGTAAACATTTAAAAAGAGTAATTTTATTTTACAGTTTTTTTACTTATTGAAATATTTCTATTCAATATTATTTTCTTGTGCATGCATTTTTCTCGTTTTACAGGTCTCATTTTTATTCACTCTTTTTTTTCCCTTCTTTCCCAACATTTTTAATTTTACTCCAATTTTCCCCACCTTTGAGGAAACTCACCGGGGAAAGATTTGTACTTCGATTTTGAAGTACCCCTGGCCCCAACAGATATGGTTACATGCATGTTGAATAATACAGTATGCTCGTAGAAGCTCAATTGTATTTATTTATAGTTTTTCCTGGCACCCATCTTACAAATACAATCAAAATTAGCTACTTACATGGACACCGTGTTCAGTGTAGTAATCAGCTGTACCCATACTGGCGTAGAGCTTGTAACCCATCTTCTGAAGCGACTTCATACTGGGCAGCAATTCGGCTTTGTGCTGTAACATTTTAAAATTAGAATAACTAATATTGAAAATAACTAATATTAGTTAGTTAACTACGATTACTACTGTACTTATACTACTAATTATTTGATTTATTTATTCGCAAACCTTAGGGACTAAAATATATAATTTTAATTTTTACTGCTATAAATATTAAAAATTTTAGATACTTTTAATTTTAAAAAATTTTTGCCACATATAAAAATATTTTAATATTTATAATAATAATTTCATACAGGTTTTTGTAAAAAGGCAGCATTGATGAGATAAAATAATGCAGTATTTTTGGTATTAAATTTGGTAAACTATAAAATTTCATTTAGAATTAAGTTGAATAGATTTTATACTTTTTATTATTATATTTAAGTATGTTTAAAATAAATTTAAAAAATTTTTTTTTTTTTTAGAACCTGGGGAGAGGGCGGGAGAATTATGCAGAGTTAAAAATCCCAACAGGCAACTGAATTCGAACTTGTAATTATTTGTCTATCACAAACTTTAGTTATCAGGTTTCCAGGCAACACACGTTGCTATGCACACACGTTAGCCCGCTCGGCCACTCTGCCCCCTATTTAAAATGAAGTGTGCTGTTTACATGAAAAGTTGAAAATTTAAAGACTAATTAAAAAATAAATTTAAACTGAAACATTAAGCATTGATATGCTCAGCCCTGAGTATAGAAATTTTTCCTGAAGAAAGATAAGAAAGTATGCTTTTAGATTTCAACAGAACAAAAGGGATCCTGACGAAAGAACCTATCCATTTAATATGTAACATTGAATAAAAAATATTGACATTTTTATTAGTTTGTTTTAAATATAAAATTATGCTTGAAAACGAGATCTATTGATGGTAAATATCATAAATTAAAAACAAAAAATATAAATAAATTTACAAAAAATATATAAATCTTTACAACGGATTCTTTTTTTTAATTACACAATATAAGGCAACATTTAAATAACTTAATGTATACAGCAACAATTTGTTAAGTTAATCGATCTTGAGGAAGCATTGAAATGTTATGAATATGAAAAGTATTCCATCTGCCTACTGAAGGTCATCATTCAAGTATCTCATTCCATCAATCATTCTATCATTCTCATTCTATCAAAGAGTTAGTAATAAAGTATTATACTTTAAATTTAGTTAACTTGAAACCATTTCATCACTTTAAGGTTTAAATAAATAAACCATTTAATCAAATTATTAACCTTGAAGCTGCCGATGGAGAGCAAAATCGCATTCTGAGGGATTCTGAAGCCAGTACTCATCATTGCTTTAAGGTATGCCTCGTACCGGTTATCTCCAAAGCAGGCTACCTCACCCGTAGAGGCCATTTCTACACCAAGCATCACATCTGCACCTGTTAATTCATAAGCAAAATTATTATGATTAAGAGGAATAAGATAAATTATAAACATAAATAAATATCAAAAAGTCTCACTAATTCAGATGCCAATTGGACAGAGATACAGTTAGTCATGGTTGGACTTAAAAAAAACGAATTCAAATTTGGTTACCTATAAATTTAATTTAATGAGCAGGAAGTTGCTACAATGAAAAAGTGCCAATTTATACTTTTTAAAATCTAGGATGAGGCTTTGTACATTTGGTTTACGAAGCTTGTATATTTTTTTACTTCTTAGTGGGCCAAGATATATTATTTTTGTTTTCATTACACAGTTTCTTTACAGTTTACATTTTTTCTTAATAGCATAGAATGTGAAGTTAATTTAGTTTTTTAAAATTTAACTTAAATAAAATTTTATATTAAAATTATGTATCATTGTCTGTTTTGTGGTGCAATATAATAAATTAATTTAGAGTTTGATTCACAAAGATGTTTTGTTACATCAGACCTATTTCAGTTTATAGGCAAAAAACATAAATTTTCATATAAATTAATAAAAAAAATCTGATGCGCACCACACGACTTTCACTTACCACCCTCTTGTTAGCAGAAATAAGTATTTTCAGACAATGGGGAAGTTAAAGTAAAAATTATAGATGCTACACTCATTTACATTTCATTGTGGGTATTTGTATTTGTTTAATTATCCTTATATATACAAATTTTAATTTTTATATCACGGCAATCTATACAATTAAATATTATATAATACCGATAGCATTTATGAAAACCGTATAAGTATATGTACATAATATTGTCGGAGTCCGTATGATATTAAGCTCATGTTACATATGGAAGCCTGTTATAATCTTTCGGGTACGCTCGTATTCCTTTGGTTTCTCCATTTCAACCATTACCAGTTATGCTCTTTTATTTCTCCTTTAGTTAATTATCGAATTCTTTCATATTTTATATTTAACTATTTTTTATATTAAAGACTAATGTGAAATGGTTAATTATTTCAAATAAAAAATATTAATGGTACTTTAGAGGAGCTAATATTGAAAATTAGCCATTTAAGCCCTGTTAGAGAACATCAATGAGAATAAAACCTACATTATTTTAAAAACTGCTTAATAATACACTGATATACTGAGTTTAATCGAAATCGTAAGAGCCATTTTTGAGAAAATTATAAAAATGTGTTAAATCGATTATATAAAATACCACTTCCGGTAAGTTAATTTTGACGAAAAAGTTGCTGTAACATACAAGGTATATAAAAACCTTAAATATGAAATTTCACTTTCATACGACTTTTCATTTTTGAGCTAGACTGATCACATACATATACAGAGAAACAGATCATTTTGCGGGACTTGGTTATTTCAATTCAGGAGACCTCAAAACATGTATTTCTGTTGAAAACTCAGATTCAAAAATTTTCGCGATCGCTATACTAACCCTTACTATATATTGCATATATAGGTAAGTGAAAGTAAAAAAAAGCCTGTACCACTGTAACCCATGAAGGGTTTTAGGTTCAGTACTGTTTCAAGGCCAACGGTGTTACAAGGAGGTGTTCGGGCCAGAATCATGCTCAACCACCAGGTTTTCCTCTTAATTAATTATTTTATTAAGGGTACCCACTTTATAGAGGCTGGGTGTGCCCCAGGAGGGTCTCCCGATCCCAGGGTCGATTCACGGCTGATGAAAAATTACTTGATATCAGACAGATTTGAACCAGGACCTTGAGCTTAGTAGTCCAGTGCCCAACTCGCTAAGCTATTCCGCTCCCATAAATTAATAAAAATAAATAAATTTTTTTGTCCCAAAATTTAAAATATACAATAGAAATTGTATGAGGGTCACATAAAGTGGTGTAACATATGTTTATTTAATTTATAATGAAAATGCAAAAAAAAAAGAAGAATTCTGATGTTTTTGATATAATATGAGGAGTTGGTAGGGGGCTACGGTCAAATAAATAAAGTATTTATTTGTCCGCACCTCCCAACCAACTCCTCATATTATTATTTTATTTTATCAAACTTTTAAGATAATAAGTAAGGAATCAATTACCTGCAAGACGTGAAAAGGAGAACACTGGAACCTTAACTCCCACTTTTCCACATCCCATCAGCACATCGACAGGCTCAACCTGTTCTCCAACTATCACTCTGGTCGCAGTTGCCACAAAATCATGATCAAGAGTTTTAGAGACGAATGGGAATGATCTTGAAACACGGACATTGCATTCTATCACCTTCAATACGTTATCCTGAAAGTAAAAATAAATAAAGAATTAAGAAATATTAAGGTTCGAATATTGAAAGGCGATATTTAATATCTGAATTTAATTAACAATACAGCTGGATACTTTTATGGTAAAAAAAAAAAAATGTAAATTTGAGTTGCAATAGAATACAAGAGCTAAAAAATGTAAGTAATATTAATATTGTACTCCTCCGAAATGAATTATTCCTTGTGTAATCTGAGATTGCCTAAAGGGATTGCTAACATGTTCAAGGGATAACGTTCCTTTATTGAATGAGAAATGCTTTATTAAATATGCATAAATTATAAATTCCCAAAATACACAGAACATTTATATGGCATGATTATTCATCTACTGGAAATTTTATATGTTTTACAGGTACAGCACAAATAAATACTTTATAACAATTACATATACATTAATAACTGCTAAATAATAAAACAACTAATACAATATAAAATAATAATTATTTTGGATGATTTATGTCTAAGAAATAATAATAAAGGAAAATAAGGGAAATCGTAAACAATAACTCCACGCATGTCAAGAAAAACCGACAATTATACGACATTCGTTCACAGAAGGGGCATTTAGAAGAGAAATTAGAATATCATTTCGAACCGGGCTAGTTCCAAGAAATTCAATACGAATTTGACTAATCATTGAACATTCAGCCAAGAAATGGAACAGGTCTTCCTTTACTGGTTACATAGTGGACAATCCTTATATTCCCTGTCAAGCCATGGGATGTAATTTAAATAAAGGAGTTCACGCCTGAGCTTGAACAACCAACTCAACTCCCGCCCAATCAAATCCCAACAGCAGCCATCCACGAATTTCAAAATTTTAAGATCAGAATTAAATGCCGTTAATTTACACTGCTCCCAATGTTGCTGAGTGATTGCAGACATTATTGTTGCCAACTGGTCTTTCCATAACGAAAAGCATTCCAAAGACCTGTCAAACCTGCAAGAGTATCTTTACGCCAAATTTCACCTCTAATCAGTGGTTATTAGATTTTTATGAATTATCTAAATTAGGAAATACAGTTTTAAATAACTTTTTTGCTGTATTTGCAACAATAAATGAGCTTGAGAATGAAACAACTATATTTCTAAAAATAATATTTTAACTAAAAATTTAGTGACTTAGTCGGATTGGATGCAACCATCCTCATAAGAGGAATTTAAGAACACTGATGTATCCTCAGGTAGAGCACATAAAAACTGTTATCATTATATATAGGTTAATAAATAAATAAATAATTTATTATATATTAATTTCTTACCTTGGCAATAAGCTGCATATTGAAAGGACCGGTCACCTCTAGTGAACCAGCCACAGCTCTGGATATTGACAAAATCTTATTAAGAGTTTCTTGGTTGATGTCCTGCGGTGGAGTGACCAAAGTAGCATCTCCGCTGTGGACACCAGCGTTCTCGACATGTTCGCTAACAGCCATGCAGAGTATCATCCCATCACAAGCCACTGCGTCGACATCAATCTCCTATTATAACAGCAAAAAGATATATTACGATGCATACTGTTTTAAATAAAAGTTTAGTTATAAATAAAAAATAAAGCTTCAATAATTCCACATCCTCATTTCAGGATCTAATAAAATAATACAGCAAAACTGTAACTAAGCATTACTTTTTTATATGTCAGTTTCTATTAAACTTAGATACAGTAAAACCACATGCCTCCCAAAAAAAAGAGTTATAACTCATACTAAACTAGAAAAATTAATTATTTTCAATTTTAATTTATTTTCAGCTTAACAAATCAAAAATATTAAGGCATATTAATTAATATACATCCCAAAAAAGGGTTACAATTCATATCAAACTAGAAAAATTAATTATTTTCAATTTTAATTTACTTTCAGCTTAACAAATCAAAAATATTAAGGCATATTAATTAATATGCCTCCCAAAAAAAGGGTTACAATTCATATCCAACTAGAAAAATTAATTATTTTCAATTTTAATTTATTTGCAGCTTAACAAATCAAAAATATTAAGGTATATTAATTAATATGCCTCCCAAAAAAAGGGTTACAATTCATATCAAACTAGAAAAATTAATTATTTTCTATTTTAATTTATTTTCAGTTTAACAAATCAAAAATATTAAGTCTGAATATAATGTCTTCGTTGTAATACTGATGGTTTTTATTCCAGCTATATCGCTATATAATATACAGTACGTCAAATAAAGAATTAAATTTTTTAAAAAATTAATATCATAATTTCAGTTAAATATGTCTGTGCTAATAAAAAATGGTGGCTGGTTTTAGTATCATTTTGAATAAACTGATGACGGAATCCCCAAAGTACTCGAATTTATCCTAAAGTAGTCGTCATCTTAACTCTCCATTACGCTAACTTATTTTTTAAAATCACTGAGAGGTCGTGTTGGCCGAGTATGTTGGAGGGTTATCCGGTCTAGCATCCTCGTGCCTGGCGATGCCGGTTCGAATCTGGCCTGGGAGTGGTTGACTTTTATTTCGTGGCAGACCCACGGAATGAAACTTGACCCTCCCACTCTGGTTAGAATATGTATGGTTGCACTTCTAGAACAATCCCCTCACCTTCCCTTAATGAATGGTGGGTAAGGAGTTATCCAATAAATAAAAGAAATAATAATAATAATGAAAAAAAAAACATTGAGTTGTCATACTTCATTATTAAATTAATTACTACAGAAAGTAAGATGGTAGATGAAAATTGTGTGATGCACCACACTTGTTTTTTTAACCATTATCTGTTTTCTTATGTATTACCATTTTTCAATATCTTATCATTTATTAATTGTTCAGTTTACTATACTCATTTCTTTTGTCAGGTATACCAAATACTATTTCTTTTTCCACACATTTAACCTTTATTATTTCCAATTTTGTACCTTCATATTTATGACAGTGATTCTGTATCTCATTTTTACTCCTAGAATAGTATCACCTTTTTTGTATCTTTCTTTTTTGCCCTGAGGAAGACCGACAATGTGGGTCGAAACATTAGCATTAAATAAATAATTAGGAACTACTTGATGTTTATCCAATAGTCTCCTGGATTTTCTCTTTTACAATTTATCATATGGTCAACCATCAACACACAATGTTTATGTTCAATTTACGTTTAAACTAAAATTAGAGTCAATTATTAGTATCATACTATTGATAGACTAAGATATTGGGGGTATTGTAAATGCCTAATATTATTGTAAATACCTAATGTGCTTTTCATGCTAAGCAGTCAGCACAAATTTTGAATCAATGGTAAATAACCTCTCTGTGATAAAGTGTTAGTTATATTAAGGTTATGCCTGTACTGCAAACAAAGTTTTTGAGTATTTAATTGATCTACTAACGTTTTGATTTATTTTTAAAATGCCAGAGCAAAGAGAAAATACGGAGTTGCTGGATTATTTAGTTAAAAATGCTTTATTAGAAAGCATGAATGAAGATTCATATGATTCAGAAGGCAAATAACTTGATGAATACATAGATGACATCATAGCTGTCTTTACATTATTTCTGTAGATATTGTATATAAATAAAGAACAGAGAATCAAACACATCAAAACCTTACAATAACCTACTTCGTGCATTTAAGAAGTTGGCAACACTTTAAAGGACCCAAGGCTACATTAAAATAGAGAATGCTGGCGACCATATTTAACACACATTTCATAAATAACTTTCTCGACTTTGCACATTTAAGAGGTATATGATACTTAGAACTGGTTGCATGAATACCCCTACTGTCAAATAATGAAATTTCCATTATCTGTCTGTTCACTTAACCATCATGTGTCCTAGGTATTAGTGATAGCAGTTGATCAAAGTTTTATTACAAGATAAATTTTAATTAAAACACTTGGAACTAACCTTAGCTTCAAGGAGGAATTTGGAAATGACGACTGGATGTTCCTTGCTGACTTCACTAGCAAGGTTGAGGTAATCTTCCAGGTCTCGCTCGGAATGGACAACATTCATGGCAGCACCGCTCAGGACATAAGAGGGTCTCACTAAACAAGGGTAACCTACCTCGTCACAGAACTCGATGGCTGACTTCAAATTTGTTAGTTCTTTCCACCTAAAAACAGTTTTGTATTTAATTTATAGATTAATAAAATCTTATCGCAGTTTAGTAATACAATTGTTAAACAGACTTCATAATTCGACATACCTGGGTTGGGAGATGCCGATTCTGTCTAACATTCTCGAGAATTTAAATCTGTTTTCAGCACCATCAACGCTCTCAGGAGAAGTACCTAGGATTCTCGCTTGCTGGCGGTGAAGGTCCATTGCAATGTTATTGGGCAGTTGTCCACCCATACTAAGGATAATACCATCAGGATTTTCAGCAGAGTATATATCCATTACAACCTAAAATTTAATATAATTAAATAATAACTTCATATTTAAAAAAAAGTTTAATTGAATTCATTAAATCCGATACCTAGTTTAATTGACCAAATCCGATACCTAGGACTCCACCATGACAAACGACTCACTTGGAACCCCCATACCAGACTGAAACGACTAGAAACCGCCCGACGTTTCTGACTACTCCAGCACTTACTAGACAAACGCTCTAAACTGCCAACTATTTACAAAAGACTCATATATATTACTATAATTTAGGCCTATTTGGACTTACGGAATCGAGCTTTGGGGCTCTACTAAACCATCAAATTCCTTTCGTATCCAATCACTACAATCTAAAATCCTTCATAAAATCCTTAATGCTCCCTACTTTGTCACAAATAAAATCATCCATAATGACCTTAATGTACCATATGTTTCCGATTTAGCCCAATCCGGATACCTGTCCTTTCATAATAAACTTTTAAACCATCCGAACCCTCTCGTTAACAACCTTGATTCTTCTTCTATTCCTGATAACCCTCCGAGGCGTCTGAAAAGAAGATGGCCTCGGGACCTTCTAATATAGAAATATAATTGGAGTGCTACCAATGGGTAGTTTCTCTTCATGTTGTACATGTCATGTTACTTGTTCATATTTACTTGTTGTATTTATTATTAATTACAGTTGTAAATTTCTTTAATAAAAAAAAAATTTAAATTACCTCAAATGATATTTCTTCAAAGTACAACCTGTCGCACATATCATAATCAGTACTAACAGTTTCCGGATTATAGTTGACCATGATAGTCTTTTTTCCCAACTTCTTTAATTCCCTGAGGCAACCAACAGCGCACCAATCAAATTCCACAGAACAGCCGATCCTATAAACTCCAGACCCTATAAAAAAAATATATTGATAAGAAAACAAATAAAATTAAATATAAAAACAGAAAATGATAAGGCTCATTACCAATAACCATTGTGTAACCTCCAGGGAAATCAATATCATGGGAACGACCATTGTAAGTAATATACAAGTAATTAGTAGAGGCAGGCCATTCAGCTGCGACAGTGTCGATCTGTTTCACAAAAGGAGTTACTCCTAGAAAAAAAAAAAATTATTAATAAAGATATCACACATTTGTAAAAAAAAAAAGTTTGAATTAGTATGATTCTAATTATATCACAAAACATTAATCAATTATCTAATTTATTAAAATCTTAACGAGTATTTCTTCCTCTTAATTTGATTAAAATACTATTTTGAGTCACTCTGAAAGATATTTGCTTTCAGAAATACATTTAAAACGTTTTTATTTAATTTTGGGGGTTCAGAATAAATCTACTACTGATAGCTTCCAACAAATGGTCAGAAACCGGAATGACCAAACTAAGTGAGCTGCAGGGGACTAATGAATGCATGGACTAAGCCAGAAGGCGAACAGTGGAAGCAGGTAATCCAGCTGTCCCAGGGACCCGATCATATTTTAGACATTACTCAATTTTCTATTTAAGTTTTTAATAATAATGAAATTACTACAATTTACTTCAAAGCCAGAAGAGACACTGAAGGGCTGAAGAATGAGAGAGAATTAAAATCAATACAAAAACAATAAATGTCTTTCAAACAAAACAGCTTGTTCTAAGAAGGCAGTTTTTTAATCAGTGGTTGGCAATAAACAAATGAAAAAGAACTAACAAAAGATGTAAGCAGTTTTTCATATTTACACACAAACATGTATTGATATTTATAAATCATCTCAAAAGTGCAAAAATTTACAATTTGATGCAACAGAAATCAAAATCTTGCAATATCAAAATTCAATATGTCATTCTACGTATCATATAACAGATAGATTGTCGAGTTTGAAGTTTTAACACATAAGCAAATAAAATGTGCAATAATATGGAAACCGGTCTCTAGCTATAAGTATCAGAACTTATCCTATACTCCAATAAGTTGTGAATACTTAAAAAATATACTCACCGAAATCTCCTCGCTTCTTCCTGATTGCTAATTCTGTGCTTTTGACAAAGGTAGCGATTTGCTTGTCGGAGAAGCCAAGCTGCTTGGCAGCTAGCAATTCCTCAGGAGTTAAGTTGGGCTGACTGATCGACTCCAGGTGCGTCTGCATCTCGATGATATTCTTCAGCTTATGGAGAAACCACCTGTCTATTTTAGTCAACTCGTACAGTTTATCTATCGAGTAGTTAGCTTTTAGAGCCGCGGCAAGGACAAAGATCCTCTTGTCAGTCGGCTGTTCGAGCTCTTCATCGCAAGCTACCTTGGCATAGGGGTCGAAGCCTATAACATTTTCATCAACCATCCTCATCGCCTTCTGGAATGCCTCCTCGAACTTTCTACCTACAGCCATAACCTCGCCGACACTCTTCATAGAGCTGCCAATCTAAATTGATAAGAATTAATTATTCATTTCATTTTTTTAAAAATATATTAGTTCTGAACTTAATAAAAAAAAATCAACTAAAATGTAAGTGAAACAAATTGTTAATTCATTTACTTTATCAGAGTTAACAAAGTTTGTGACGAATAGCATTGTTAATGAATTTTAAAATTCAATTGGCAAAGCATAGATATACTAGATCTAAACCAACTAAAAATAAATAAATAAGAATAATTAATTTTAATTATTATTATTTGCTCATTTTTTTTTTCATCGATTTTCATTATGCTATTGGAATTTCCAAAAATAGATTATGATTAGAGACAGGATTTCCATGTTATTGCACATTTTATTCGCTCGGGTGTAAAAACGCCGGACCCGAATATCTATCCGTTTCTGTATCAGTAGAATAATATACTTAAATTTTATATTGCACAAAATTGCACGTTTTGCCATTTTTGGCTTAAATTGCATGATTTTGTATTTTTATTTTGCATTAAATTACACATTTTGTGCTAGATTAAAATGATTTATAAATATAAATATATATATGTTTTTGTAAATATTTACTTTTTTTATTTTACTATCTGGTCCAAATTAAATTTAGAAAAGATAAATATGAGGAAGGTAAATGATTCTGTGATTAGCAAAGATTCGGAATTAACGTTACAAAAGGACAAAGTAAACACAAGTGCAGACTGACTATTCCTGGAATAGAACTTGCTTGAGGTAATTTAATTTAAAAAACTGGTTTCCTTATTTTGATTTCAATTCTCACTCTTTCCTAAGTCCTTCAGGGTCCCTTCCGGCTTTAAAGTGAATTGTAGACCATCATGAATTCAGCATCAATAAATATGAATTGACATTCATGAAATCACATTTGTCAAATTTTCCGCAAACATTACTCAGTTAGAATCCTGAAATTTGTCACTTAGCTTAATCGTAATTTATTTATTTTAATTTTCAATGTTGCATTTTAATTTTTTTTTTTTTTTTGTCGCAATATTTGATTCAGAAGCTTACCATAAGGTTTGATAGGATTTCGATGTATTAATTTTATAAATTAAACAAAATAGATGATTTTTGCATGATTTTAGGTCTAAATTAGATAATTTTACATATTATGGGTTTTTACTAAACGATTTTGCACATTTTGAGTTTTTTGCTGCACGTTTTTCGGATATTTACTGCATGAAGATCCGGTCTCTAATTATTATACTATTAGAATAGGAATATTATCGCTAAATGATAAAAGTATCATTTGCTATAGAAGAATAAAAAAAATTATTTACTTCAGAAGCCAATCAAATTGACTCTATGTTATTTAGTAAATTGTTCAGTAAAACTTACAAACATAGAAAAAAAAAATATTAATAATAATGATTAATTGTTCCACACTGTCTCATCACAAAATTTAAAAACCAAAGAATTTTATTTACCACTTTTCTCCACTTTTTGTTTTATGGAGATTTATCAAGTGTGCAACTCAATTCATTGATTTGACTTTTTTGGAACAATCGTCTATCTGAAATCTGTTTCCAGTTTTAAACAATATATATATATACATATAGACCAAGTTATAAAATTAAGATAGTTTTAAAACAATTAATTAAAATATAAAATTATGACATCATTACAACACTCACTTTAGTACTGACTCTTGAAAATTTGCTCAAGTCCCAGCGAGGAATCTTTACGACTAAATAATCTAATGAAGGTTCAAAACAAGCCGTAGTTGTCATAGTGACAGAGTTTTTGATGTCGACAAGTGATTGGCCGAGAGACAATTTAGCTGCGACATAAGCGAGAGGAAAACCAGTAGCCTTACTGGCAAGTGCAGAGCTACGAGAAAGGCGAGCATTAACCTAAGAAAATTAAAAAAATATTTTTAAAAACTTCAATCGATATTAATATAAAGAATAACAAAATATGAAAAAAAGAAAACATTGAAAGACCATACCTCGATGATGTAATAGTCCTCTGAAGTAGGACTAAGGGCATATTGGATATTGCACTCGCCAACAATGCCGAAGTGCCTCACCACCTTCAGAGCTGTCGACCGCAGCTTGTTGTACTCATGGTCGGTCAGAGTCTGACTCGGAGCGACAACAATAGACTCACCGGTATGTATCCCCAAAGGATCAACATTTTCCATGTTACAAACCTGGAATAAAACAGTTTATATTACAATACAATCTTGATCTTATTGAAAATAAAATATAAATGTAGAGTTTACAACAACATGGTACGGCTGCTCAACTGTGTTGAGTTGCTAAATAACAACTGAATAATTTTTATAATAATGACAATTTCAATCAATACAAACTTATATTATGATAAATATTGTTATTCCTAAAATATTGTCCTAAGTATCATTTGCATACATTGAAATTGTCTTTATTATAAAAATTATTCACCTAACCCTTGTATACTTGCTATCAAACTAAGCCATATTTATATTGATTGGCACCTTTTGCTCATGTTCATTCCATTACTAGTCAATCAATAGTCACATTTCTAACCATATGAAATAATTCAAATATTGTACACTTCTGAAATATTTGTCAGCAAATTATGTATATTCTACAAACATAAATGTTACCCTCCTTCCCCTCTAACTATGTTTACCTACCTTTTGCTATCTGAAAAAGGACAACTGGGAAATCCTCCACCCCAGACCTTTTTACTTATCTACCAAGCAAGTGTCAGTACTTGAACAACTTCAATGCTCAAACCACGGTTAGTAGGAGAAAATATTACAAATTCGTATAAATGGATTATATACATTATTTTTTTTACTTTTAGTTTGTATAACTATTTTAATATGTGTATTACAATATTAGTTAAGATTCATTTGCCATCAATCACTATAGTTTATTATTTATAATTAGCGGTCGTATAGTATTATATCTCTAATTGTAATTTAAAAAAACATTTTCAGCCCTGAAGATGACCCACATGTTTGGGTTGAAACGTTGACAAAAATAAAAAAATTTAAAAAAGACTGCGTCCTGAATATTTATCACCCACAAAAGATAATATTGTATAAAAATATAAGAGAGAGTTAGGTCGGACCATTGGAATACATATCAGACATACAAAGAATGGTTCATAAAATCAAATAAGTGAAGGCCTAGATTAATATATGTGGTGATGGAGGATTACTAACGAGTCCAAAATAATTGCCATAGTCTGCATCTGCTCCCTTCCAACACCGAGCCTCTGCAAAAAATTTCTTGTATTAAGAGGAATGCTTTCCCTGCTTCCAAACCATAGCCCTTCTATTATAATTATAATTCTGTTCCCTCTATTATGATAGTATTCTCTCTCGCCGAAATTATCTCTGTTCTTTTCCATCAGGTAAGATATGCATTTTGTATAAATTTCCTCTTTCTCTGCCTGTATCTTTCTGTTCTGATCCTGATCGTTAGTTTCAAATGTGATCGTGGGATCCACTATGACTGCCTCCTTTTCCGTCACATTGAACGCCAAGATGTCAATGAATCTTGTTGAGCCCTCTGTATCCAAGCAGTAAACTTCGAGGAAATATTTATAGTTCTTTATATATATTAGGCCAAAGGTCACCAAATGTACACAGTTTTTACATCCTATATTCTTTATTCGACGTTTCGGCTTCAGGAGCCATTTTCAAGATCCTGCAAACATGCACCGCTTCATAAAATTTCTAAAATGTATCATTACAATATGATTCGTCCTTAAGTCATTATTTTATTTCATAGAATGTCATTTTTGCACTTCTCTTTCGCAGACGATATCAAGAAAAATGTTGCTCCTCACTAAGGCATTCATACAGGAATCTACAGAATAGAAGAATACAGAATGTAAAAACTGTGTACATTTGGTGACCTTTGGCCTAATATATATAAAAAAAAACTTAAGAGAAAATGGCACCAAACCTGAATGATATGACTAGAAAATTATTTATAGTTCTTTATTTCAAGGAATGCTTTATATTACTGTGCCGGCGGGAGACTTGGAGCATGTTAAGCGGATAATTGCCCAGCACATGAACTGGGGTTTCTGACTCTCGGCCACATTTGCGGTAGAGGGGTTAAATAGTTTGCTGATTTAAAATTTATGAAAAATAGCAGTAACTATATTTTAAGTAAAACAAAATAATAATGTTTTATTTTAATATATAATATATTACAACTAAAAAATCTTATATTAAAATATTCTAGCACTAGTTATATGATTGTCAGAGAGTCAGTTGCTGGCATTGAAATTGATCCATATTTAAATCTGTACATAAATACAGTTAAATAAGTAGTTAAACAAACTGTTTATACTCATAAGACATAATTCTTTATAATACAAAAATTAAAATATTTTATATATTGACATACTTAACTGCAAGTTATAAACACATCGCAAATTACCTTGCCATGTTTTATTTACTTCATTGACTATTATTAAAGTTCCAAACCAATTTGTCTCTATAATTCCAGAACAATTTACAATATTTTATCAAAGCAAGAATGTTTTTACAATTTAACTGTTTTTACAATTAATTCTTCTATGGTCAGTACAGTATTTCTTTAAGAAAACATTTTTGTATTTACTACCACATTTAGATTACATAGGGAACATATCTGGACTTGACCCTTATTATATATTTTGTAATTTAGGTTAAATAATTCACCATCCTTTAAAAACTTGATGTCATTAATCCTCATTTTTCATAATATTAGATCGTATTTGTCATACCTTAGTTTTTTATATAGCAAAAATTTACTTGTATTTGATCTCTCTTTATTGTTTTATTCTAATATATCTCTAACTTGAACTTTTTTAACTTTTGTTTTCAATTTTTTTAATTTTTAAAATATTGTAAGACAAAAATAAATGTATAATTATTTTATTAAAAGGAATGATATACATTTACAATATCAACAGCATATTTACGAGAGAAAGTTTTTTCGACCATGTTATTCAAATGAAACTGTAAGGACTGGAGTACGATATTTAAGGTTTCGAATACAATGAATCTTACTATAATTTCAATCAAGGCGTAGTTATCAATTATTAAAGAAAATAAATAATATAAAAGTGTATGAGATAATTAACATAACTCAATCATTGTATAAAAATTAATCTATAGATCATATCATCGGTTTATCATAAAAAGACTTACAGTAATGCAGTTGTCAAAAGCATCCCTAACGACTTCATATTCAACTTCTTTCCAACCCTTCAGGGATTTGTCAATTATCAGCTGACTCGAGTGAGCGAACGCGTGCTGGCTCAGCGTTTTCATTTCTTCATCATTGTTGGCAAAGCCAGAACCGAGACCACCGAGAGAGAAAGCTGATCGTGCTAAGACTGGATAGCCCAGCTTCCTCGCCGCTTCTAAGGCCTATAAATTAATGGCTAGAATTAATATTGAATAGAAACAATTAAGATTATTTTAAAACATTGATAATATCAGACAATTTATTTTGATTATTTCTTCTTTTTAAAAGTTAAAATTTTGACAATTATTAATGTTTTTATTTTAATGTTCAATACTATTTGCAATTGTCTGGGCTCTTGGTATGGATTATACATGCCATTTTCACATGATGTTGGAAAACAAGTGCATTTAATTAACTGGATAGTATTTAACAATTTTATGTAGATAAATAAATACAATTATTTTCAAAGTGTTTTTTTAACACTATATATAAATATATATATTACTACTATAACACAGTTATAGATAAGATTTATATACTTCATTGATGTTGTAAACAGCAACGCTCGGTGCAGTTTTCTCACCAATCTCGGCAATCTTCTCAGCAAACAACTTCCTGTCTTCTGTTTCAATGATGGACTGAATCGGTGTTCCCAGGACATGAACATTGTATTTTTCGAAAACACCACTCTTTTGGAGTTCCACACCACAGTTGAGTCCTGTCTGACCTCCAAATGTAAGAAGGATACCATCTGGACGTTCTGAATGAATCACCTGAAAACCAAATAAAAGAAATAAAATAACAATAATTAAATACACTAAAGCAGGAGTCCCCAATCTTTTTTTTTTTTTTTTTTTTGATAAATAAAATTTTCAGGACTTTCGGTCAAGATATATTTACTAGGTTAACCGACATTTCAACCAAAACATGTGGGTCGTCCTCAGGGCTATCGTTTGGAAGTTGAGACAAGAATTGCTGAAGAAATGACAAGAACCTTGAGGATGACCCAAATGTTTGGGTTGAAACGGCTAATCTATTAAATATATCTTGAATTGAAAGTTCTGAAAATTTGTTTCATTCATATAATTGATCAGCTGACAATTGTACCCATCTCTAAACTTTTTTTTTATTTGAGGGCACATTTATGAGCTAATAGTAAAGTGGTAGCCAACAATTGTTTGTGTTTTTCCTCGATTTTTTATTGTTTCATATTATGAATAACATAATGAAAAAGAATAACTTTTACAGATGATAAAATATTGTATTTATTCTTAAAACAATGACATAAGTGTTAATAATACATTTAAATTGTATACAAAATATAAAATGTTTTAATTGAAAAATAAATGCCCAAGACAATGTGACATTTTGATTTATGATTAATTGTTTGTAAGTAATAAATCATTGTGAAATAATTTGCAGCGTTTTTTTCCGTATAAGTACCCAATTATATGATTATTTTGTTGATTAATTTTTTTTTTGCAATTTTAACTAATCTTTAGATACATTTTATCTGTTATTCAGAATTTTCCATTGACAAAATTTTTTTTTTTTATATCTTCAAAATATGTTTGCGGTACTTCACAATTTAACTGAGAGTTAACTTTTTTTTTTCTGTTGGCATTACAGACCATAAGCCTGGTCCAATTTTACTAGGCTTCATTTAGGTTTCGTAATAATGTATTTTTATCGGGATAGGGTTATTAGTCCTATGTCCAACCCCCAACCTGGAGGACCAGGAGCTAAGGTGGAAGACGCAGGGGTTCCTCACCTCTCTGTGAATCTTTGGATGGGGACGTTACCATCCCCATGGGGGAATCGAACCTGTACCATAGTGATCGAAGTAATTGGGTAGCACTTACAATTTTTATTTTTTATTGATTATAAATTATTATCTTTTTTGTTCCCGCGAATGGGATTTGAACTCATGACTTTTCAGTTTGGATAAAAATGTTAAAAAGAAAGTTAACATAACGATTCTTTATAATGAATATAACAAAAGTAAACACCTACCTGTTCCACGTAATTGGGTAACAGCGGTAAGAAGTAGACCTTGTCGGCTAGCCCCTTCGATGTCTGCACAGTCGCTATGTTTGGATTTATCAGGACAGTTTGTATCTTCGATTCGTGAAGTGCCTTGATTGCTTGTGAACCTGAGTAATCAAATTCACCAGCCTGCCCGATCGACAAACCTCCAGAACCAAGTATCAGCACCTGAAATATTCATGCATATTAATAAAAATAAATCAGCTTATACGTATATTAAAGTCAGAGGTCATAAATTACAAAAATTAAAAAACTTTGCTGAGATTTCATCTTATTGGTCAGTCCAAATAAATGCTATTATATGAGATTATATCAAATTTAATTGTTTTTCAGCTAGTTGGGTTTCATTTATGAATTATTGTGTACTTAAAATACAATAAAATGTTTCCACATTAATGATCTAAATAGAATGTAACTATTATATATATATATATATATATATATATATATTTTTTTTTTTATTTTTTTTTTTTTTTTACCAAAGTCTTGATTCAGTACAAACATGTTTTTGATATAGATAATTTGAAAACAAAAAACTGTGATTTGATAAGTCTTGAGGTTGTAATGTTTCAATACCCTTTGTGGCTTGCGATGAGGATAGTTAATATTTAAGATAATGGACATAAAATAAGTAACAAACATACAAGGGGGAACTCCTTCCCTCCTCCAAAAAAACCCAGGAATTTCATCGTAACTCCTTTATTTTTAAATCAAATTTGATCACCTTCAAAGTAATTCTAATTGAATGTAATGCACTTACCCAATCTTTTCTGCCATTGTTCAAAATTGTTTTTTAATGTACATGTCAGGATTTCCTTTAGCTCTTCCTGCAATTTTTCTTTTACCTCCTATATAATCTCAAAATGTTTCCCTTTTAAGTGTAGGACTAAGCTATTTTTCCCTAGGACTAAGCTATGTTTCCCTAAGCTATTTTAAGCATCATATGAGTTTCCATAAGCGTTTTCCCAACATTTAACAGAATTTCATAGCCACACTTTGTTCACAACAATCAGCCATATCATGTTTTTAGCAAAAGAGAAAAAATTATTTTACTAAAAAAAATTATCACAGAAAAATAGATGCACTCACAGCAACTAAACTTCGACAACCAACTCAGAAGGATTGTATTATTATAAAATACGATCTTTACCAGAGAGTCTTGAAATACACAAATACAACTGCTGTCATCTAGGTAAAATAAAACTATTGAACAACCTACAGATGAACAAATTCCATTTCCGGTACAAATTTTTAGTCTAAAATCTTTATTTAGTATTAGGAGAGTAAGAGGTAACTGGAGCTTAACACATATGTAATTAAATGAACAGCTGTATATTAAATATACTTTACAAAATAATCGCCTAATAAGTTGAGCTCCTATAATCCCCTACTCTCCTAATACTAAAATAAAATAAAATATGAAAATCACTAAACATTTTTTATATAGTAAAGAGATAGATATTAATAAATAAAATAATTACCTTTGTGGGCTTTTTAATAACAAAATTCTGTTTGTATTGTAAAGTGTCAGAGATGTAACGCTTCAAATTAAATGAGGATTGTGAGTTTTTGTAAGCTTTAACTGCTGCTACGAACACGTCGAACAGGCACTCCAAATCCTCAGGTCCTGCGCAGTGTTCGGGGTGAAACTGCACGCTGAATAATTAAATATTTACTATTGATAATGATTGTATTAATGCTGAGAGTAACAATACAAATTTAATTATTATTTAGTATTAATTGTAGTAATATTAGTATTAATTACCTAAAGAATGGCTTTGTCGCATGGATTAGGCCTTCGTTTGTTAAATCATTAGCATTAGTAAACAATGGTTCCCAGTCTTTTGGAACACTGTCGGGACAGACTGCAAAACCGTGGTTCTGAGAAGTCATATAGCAGCGATGAGTATCTTTATGAATGCAAGGTTGGTTATGACCCCTGTTTCCGTATCTAAAAGCAACAATAAAAAATGAGACATTTTGGTTTGTTTTTTACTTAAAAGCAAGACTGTTAATAAACTATGTACAAATATTTAATGAAAATAATTTTATTATTCTGAGACTAGTGTCCCTTTACAACAAATTATAAATACAGAATATAAATTAACATGTTGGTGGGTCCATAAAATTAAATTAAATATTTACAAGATGAGTGGTAATAAAATAAAAGTACAGATAGTGAAAAGATATAAAAAAATACATAAATATGAAATAAACAGAAAAAAGTATCTGAGGGTACTTTGAGAGTCCTACAAGTTAGATTTTTAAGTGCATTTCATTATCAACCGGATTGGGAATGGAATAGATGCTTGAAGAGGAGAGATTTGACAGAGGATACTGACTTTGCGTGTTGAATATCAGAAGGGATAGAATTCCAGAGGAAGACTGCTTGAGTTAAAAAGGATTTGTCAAATGCAGCAGTTCAGTGAGGAGGAAAGAGGTCGGACATACAGGATCTAGTGGGACGGGATTGAATGGAAAATTTGAATTGTAGGATCTATAGAATATAGGAGGGTCGCCGAGTTCTAATAGCCTGGTATATTAAGGTAGCAAGGAAATATTGATAGCGGTTGGAACGGATAAAGCCACTTCAACTCGGTGTAAAACTGATTAATATTCATATTCCTAGAGATACCGAAGATATGTAATACTCGGATTCAGGGTGATTTTGGTGTCAGATTATTTGGAGCTGATTTCATATAAAATTGAGGCCTTCAACATAAAATAATTTTTGTTCCTCAAAAACTTTTACCATCCAATCTGGAAGATAAAGATTCAGAAGCTTCTTTTGACAAGTTGATGTTTCTGGTTAATTCATTCTGGTTGAAACAATGATGGATTGATGGTATACCTTCATAATCGCTCGTTATTACTAACAGAAGATTGATCAGAGAGATATTATTTCTCATCCTCACAGAGCTCTGACACTTACAATATATTACTTTCTCTTACAATATATTACATACATATATAAGTGAAAGTAAAAAACAGAGCTTATAGAGAAAAATTGATTTCATATTTAGATTCAGCACCTCCAATAAAGGTTAAATGAACTTTAAAATCCTAGATAGCAATTTTTTTTTTCCTATTACGTCTAAGTATATTCTACGAATAAAATAGTATATTATAAAATATTAGGTACTTCATCTTAAAAGTTGTGCCCCCGGCAGCAATAGCTAACAATTGGTGACCAAGGCAAATACCAAAGATTGGTTTTCCCTTTAGAATAGCCTCCTTGATCATCGTTATTGTTTGGGTGATGCTCGCTGGGTCCCCTGGTCCGTTGGTGATAAACAATCCATCGTAGGAATCGTCTCCGAACGGGCCGTTCCATGGAATAGTTTCAACCGTAACTCCTCTCTTCAGAAGACATCGTATCTGATTATATTTCAAACCGCAATCAATAGCATGAATTTTGAGAGAAATGTCATTTCCAGGAAGAGGTTTATATACAGTTCTATCCTAAAAATAAATTAATACAAAATAATAATAATAAATAAAATATTAAAAAATACAAAAATTGCTTCAATGAAAAATATAATTACCTGGTTTGAAACTTCGGAAACTAAATTCAACTTATAAACATCACAGAACTCAGGCTTTTGGGGAGGAGCTACACCGCAAAAAATCTTTCCTAACATTGATCCATGTTCTCGAAGTTTTTTTGTCAGTTCTCTCGTATCGATTCCGGTGATACCAGGTATGCCATACTCGACCATCCAATCCGATAAAGTTTTCGCCATTTGCCAATGGCTTGGCTTTTCACAAATCTCTCCGACAATAAGTCCAGCAAGCCATATCTTTCTTGATTCAAAGAATCTAAAAAAGAACAAAGAGGAAAATAATAAGTTATTATTAATATTTACATAATTTCCTTACTTTTATTTATGTCAAAAACCAAATGATTAATGGAGAAATCTATCACTGGATAAAGCATTCACTTTTTTTTTTTTTAGTCCTCCTCTTCCTCACCTTTTAGGCTATACAAGGTATTCCTGGACCAGGGAGTGAGGGTGGGAGATTAGTGCCAATGTTAAAAGACTCTGAAGTCTAATAAAATTGGATCATAACAAGTTGAATAATTCAATATTAACGAATTATTTTTAGTATGAATTAAGATTCATAGGAGAAATATGTGGATATTAGTTTCGATCAAACAGTCATATTTTTCTCCTAAATTAATCTAAATCTTATCCTAAATCCACTAACTTTAACTTTGAACTTTTAATCCTTTTTTTTTCATACTGTAATCAAAATTATCCTCATAGGATATAAAAAACATAAATAAACAAGTTTAAATAACAATAAAAATGAGAGAAAATATTGATTTTTTATCGTTTAATGATTATTAGATTATGTCTGTCAGCATGAAGAGGAAGCTCTAAAAACTCTTGCAGGTAGGTGTGTAAAATTTTAAATTTGGTTCATACCATTTATTTAAATTACATTATTTATTGAATACTTTAATTTAGTGCCATTTAGGAAATTTTTTCTGGCTTAAAGTTTCAAATCTAATAAATTGTGAACCCACATAGCATAGGAAAAAAAAATAACCCCCCCCAAAAAAAACTTTCTCACCCTAAAAAAACCATGAGGGCAAAAAAATAAATAGGGGACCAACCTGGATACCCTGTTAGCATTCCACTTTTGAATGTATGTATTGGAATCATAAATATTGCTTCACACTACTCACATCTCAATTTATCTAATTATCAAATAAATAATTTATAATTAGTAAAAATTAATGGCAGTAGAAATAATCTGTAATTTTAAAATAACAGTTCATTTATGTTCACTTCATAGAACTTGAAAGCTAGCGACATCTGTGAGCTAAACGTAGAACTAAATCAGTACCATACAAATAGCATAGATAGCGCTAGTCTTGACAAGTTGTCCAAGGTTGTCATTTAAGCGGCAATTTAAACCTTTAAACACCTTTTAAATGAGTTTTAAAAAACAAAAACAAGAGTCAGTCAAAAGCTTTATTGTTTGGTGAATATAAATCTGCTACTGCAACAAATCTGAAATAAAACTTTTCACAGTCTAAGAATCAATTTTAATTTAATATATTTTTTCACAATTAAATCAAATCTAAAGGATTTTAAAAGTCAAAAATAGGGTGAATACAGTAATAATGACAACTGTTCTTGAAAAATCATTCTATACTAACCATACTACAAAAATAATCAGACATAACACAACTTAAATTTCTTCTTAACAAGAAGATATCTACATATTATCTGTAATATGTTTTATAGATTTATCAGTAAAGATCATCAATGAACAATATGGCTATAATAAATTTATATCTTCAAGAGAAAAGGGGAAGCTAGCAAAATCTATATAAGGTTTGATTTGATCATTTAAATTACAACAAGCAATGACTTTCCACTGATCAGAAACATATTTCTACTTAATAAATTGCCATATTTCATAGTTATCATTCAATAAAATTTAAAAATTGGTGCAATTAACAAGTTGGCAGGTTAATGAGGAATGCAAAAACATATCAATGCATCAACCAAAGAACACTTTCCTCATAAGAGGAGAAATCACACTAAATATTAGTGATAAACAATCACTTATCGATAGTAGATTTAGATTAGAAGTTTTTCTGAACAAACTTATTTTCGAAATTTCAATACATATCATTCTGTGACAAGTGTTAAGGATCTAAACCTTCTGTGAATCGTTTATTCCAATCAATATTGGTCTAACAATGAATAAACATTTTTAAGTATTGCGAATAATATCAGAACTTCCGTTCAAACCCATTGAATGTATCTCGACCTCCTCATTCTGGCTAGAATGAGTTATCACCTACAGGAAAAGCCATCCTTCCTGCCCTTATCAAAGTACTAAATACCGTAAGCCCAAATAAACAAACGATAACAACTGTACTAAAAGTTCAACAGTTGTCATATTCTGCAATGTTATTTCAGTATAGGCTTGAACTAATCATTAATAAATCATAATCCTAGATAACACTTACTTTGGCAAGCCGAAACAATCTTTCTCATCTGAAGGAACTCCATAGTTCCCAATGAGGGGATAAGTCAGTACCAGGATCTGCCTGTGATAAGAAGGATCTGTCAGGGATTCAGGATATCCCACCATACCGGTTTGAAAAACTAGGAAGACACATCTGATTAGATAATTTTATCTAACAACTTCACTACACATATTTAATAAGCAGACTTACCGACTTCTCCATCAACAGGGGTCTTGGCCCCAAACATATTACCGGTGAAGACAGTTCCATCTTCTAACAAGAGACTACAGGTCTCTAATTTCGCAGACATTTCCTCGACAGACAATAGCTCCTTCCCTATAGAGCCCACGTGTTAAACTGGAGGTTCCCGCGACAATATTCACCCAACGTTGCCGAACCTACAACTGACAATGCAGCCCAGGAAAACAGGTTTCTTCCTACACGCATTTGCTTATCTTCTGTATAGACCAATCATTCACCTGAAATTAATCAAGATGTGTTTTTTTTTCTTTTTATGTATAACTTTCAAATGCATTCAATCTACTTAAAAATAATCATAGGTTGTTGAAGATGATTTCCCTGAACGAAATGATTCATAGAAGATGTACAATGTTGTACATGTACAATTGTACAATTTATTAAAGAATTAATTGATTGTTAAAAATAAAACTGATAGAAATCTTATTCTTTTGTTGTTAGCTGTTTTCAAACTGATTACAATAAAAAAATTATATTCAAACTGGCTCTTTTCCTGATGGCAATTTTGATTTATTGGTTTGCTAAGCAGTTATTTTAAAATGAGGCTTCGAAGCATCTTGATTATTTCAATCCAAATCTGTAGTCTTAAAAACAAATAAAAATGTTTTTTAATGCATTCCTCAAGTTATTTAGCAACTGGTTTCCAGTAATATAAAAATGATTTTGAAGGTCCATTACTATGGGGTAACATACTCTTTTCCCCCAAAATTAATAATTCAAATGGTGTCAGATTTAAGAACTACTTCAAACTGCTAAAAAATCAGTTAATCATTTCACCTTTTACCAAAACGTTACTAAAATTCAAAATCTACACCAATAATTTCAAGTTAAGTAACTAGAGTTATATAGACGCAATGTTGCTTGGGTTCCAGCACCAGGGGGGGGGGGAGCAAGAAACTTTCTGCTACTCCAGTATTTTATGAAAGGTTTACCAAAATTTCACCGGCTTCCCAATATTTCGCAGTTTACTTTAAAAATAATTCATAAAAGAGTTCAATAAACCTTACAAGTAATAATTATATGAAATTAAAGGTAATAGTAATGTGTGGATTACTTAATTTATGTATGTTGTTCTAACCTTCGCTCCCCCCTCACCCTCAAATATTTTATAAGTACCAGCGTTAATGCTTTGTTGTGTTTCAATTTAAAACATCATTAATGTTAAATGACAACATTCTCAATACATGACAAGTCTGAATCCAAAAAGTTGAGAACATTAAAATATGTCTTTGATCAAATAAATAAAAATGTACATGGTAATTTTTAAAAATAAAGTTTTGTGAAATTTCTTTCCAACTCTCAAAATTAGAGATTCTAATGAAATTTAAAACTTTTATTTTTAATCAGTTTCGGTTTGACACACGGGTGAATTTACGGGGGAGCTGAAGCCCCCCAAAATTGTAAAATATAACCACGTTTTATCGAAAAAAATATTAAAAAAGTATCTCTTAAAGTGTTATTGTTCGTGTAATTAAATTTAAAAGGCCTTTAGGAATCACTTAAACACCATTTCATACAGATAGTTAGTTTTTTTCTTTTTTTCCAAAGTAATTATCGTTATTTTTATGAAAAAAAAAAAGCTTTCGGGCTGAAGTCCTCCCCCCCCCCAAAAAAAAACTAAATCCTGGATCCGCTAGTGGTTTGACAGAAATGTTTATTTTCAATTTTTATTTGTTATTTCGAAACTAGTTTCAAGTAAAGATTTTACAGAACTTAATATAAAAGTTCTATTGAAGCAATTCATTTCACCAAACTAACGACACAGAATCTAGTAATTCTTTTAAGATAAATTATAACTGTAATCTAACCCTTTTAAAAATAATTTAAATAAATAAAAATGAAACTTTTACTATAAGCCTAGAACTTTATTATAAAACGTTCCTTATAGCAGTTACATAGAAGCTGTTAAAATGTAACTTTTCGAAAAAGTATTTTGAAACAGTTTCACAGAAATACTCTTAAAGTATTTTAACAGTAACTGTTAACATTTCTTAGAACAGTTTAATAGAAACTGTTAAAATGGAACATTATAAAACCTTTATTAAGAACATTTTCATAATAACTGCTAAAATGGAACTTAGAAAAAAAATCTTTAAAAGTTTCAACCCCTGAAATAAATAGCAAAACTGTTCTAACAACTAAAATTAACGGGAAGCGTTGTTAATACTATTAAAATTAATAGGAAATTTTATCTTTTGCCTCATTATATTATAAAACATATTATCAGTCATCTAATTTTTTTTTTTTTTTTCATTGGTCCATAATGTCAGTCACAGAAACACTTATAGACTCCATATTTGTTTCTGTGACTGGTCTAAGCTAAATACTTAAACGATCACAATATACTTAAAATTATAACGAATAAAAACATGATTCCTAAAAGTATTATTATTCCATTAATTACAGGAAACTTATACTCATTTCTTTATTACTGTTATGTTCAATTAACAAGCTTTCAAGGACCACTTATAAACATTATTTATACAATTTTCTCGTCATATGTTTACTTTCGGTGCCATTTTATTTAATAAATTGGCAAGTCTGCTCCATCTCTGCCTGTCTTGAGCTATTTCTTTCTATTATCTGCTTTTTAGCCTTCCACGTGTCCTTTTGCCTTCTATTGAGGCATTCATTGTTACGTGGCCTTTACTTTACTATCCGTTCACTCAAGACTGGATTTATTTTTATTTAGGAGTGGACAAAAAAAAAAATTGTTTATATATAAGTTTTAAAAATCACAACGAAATTTTATGAAATAAAGGATGGATCACCGGACGAAATATAATGATTAGTTAATTTTTTTTTTATGAATTCGTGTACGATAGATGGGTAATTTGCATTAATTTTAAACCAAAATGTATTATATTATATACTCAGTTTTAAATATAACATTAATATAGAATAAGAACAATATATGTTATTAGCTGACCCGTGTGAATACTTCGCACAAACCTTATATTTGTATGTTCCATTCAGTAATGTTTCTATGCAAAGGTTTAATACTTTTATATAATAAGTTATCAGTTTATAAATATAATAATCTATACCCATCCATAGGTTAACTCTTTCTAGTTTCCTTGAATTTATAATTATAACATTATATTTTTTCTGAAGTTTAAAAAAGCTTCTAAACATTGGCTTTAAATATCTGATGAAGGCTAAATACTTTGGATTTAGTTCTCTGGAAGGTACGTTTTGACCTAGCTGTCTGTATTCAAAGAAAATAAAAATAAAGAAATGTTTCTTTTTTCATTAAAAATAATCAAGTAAATTTTTAAAATGATAAACATGTAATAGCTTATTTATAGATAATATTTTATTTAAATATTATCATAATAACATTCCATATGTATAGCAATATAACAAATTTAATAATTAATTTTACAAAACCAAATGTTTTGAAATTAGCTAGAATAATTACTTATTGATACAATGTGCACTGTCTCAGGAAGAAAAGAGTCTTGCCCAAGAGAAAATAGGGTAGATTAAGAAATAATTTTATATCATTTTCTGTTAAATAAGAAATCTACTAATACATTTATAATATCAAGGAAAAAGCTTTATTTTACCTTATATATTTATTCCATGCTTTAATTCATTTAAATGGTCCAAACGTGGAGTATATATATATATATATATAAGGGTAAAAAAAAAGTGTCCTCGATATTATGAATTTTATTATTAATATATACCCTTGAAAAATTTTAAAGATTCAAACAAAAAATAAAACCCTACTAAAATATACTTGATGAAAACAATTATTACAACAATAGAATTAAGGTTTTTGAGTAATCCAAAATAACAGGCGGATTTACGGGGGGGGTGGCTTTCGGGCTGAAGACCCCTCCCCAAAATGGTAAAATATAACTATGTTTTATAGGACAAAATATTAAAAACTATCTCTTAAACTATTATTATTCGTGTAATTACATTTAATAGGACTTCAAGAACAACTAAGACACCATGTCACACTAGCGGATCCAGGATTTAATTTTGGGGGGGGGCTTCAGCCCGAAATCTTTTTTTTTCATAAAAATAACGATAATTACTTTGGAAAAAACAGAAAGAAACTAACTACCTATATGAAATGGTGTTTAAGTTATTCCTTAAGTACTTTTAAATGTAATTACACAAACAATAATACTTTAAGAGGTATTTTTAAATTTTTTCCCATAAAACAAGGTTATATTTTTCCATTTTTGGGGGGGAGGGGCTTCAGCCCGAAAGCCTCCCCCCCGTAGATCCGCCCGTGCCATGTCATACGGTTAGTTAGTTTCTTTCTTTTTTTCAAATTAATTATCGTTACATATATAAAAAAAAAAATCCTTCGGGCTGAAGCCTCCCCCCCCCCAAAAATTAAATCCTGGATCCGCTAGTGTCCAAAACTGAAATGAAGAAAAAAATCTTTAAAGTAGAATTAATACTAAATGTTTAGACCGCTATATCTTTGCACCACGTAGTCCGATTTCGATGATTTTTTTACGTTTTGTAGGGAATTTAGTAAGCTTTCAAATACTTATATGCACAATAGTCCAAAAATTGTGTCCTTTCCGAGTTATTCCCCAATTATGACTCCATTTGTAACGTCTCGTTTCGTTCCATCATAAGGTATGAAACCTCCCACTTTTATTTAAGTCCAGGTATAAAATTAGGAATCAAAATTACGATTCGCGCACTCTAGGTGATATTCCCTTTCTATTGATAACTCATTCGTCAAAATCCATCACTCCTGAGAACCGGAAAAGGGATATATATTTGAGAAATAATATATAAGATGCACTAGCGGATCCAGGATTTAATTTTGAGGGGGCTTCAGCCCGGAAGCTTTTTTTTCCATATATATAAAACGACAATTACTTTGGAAAAACAGAAAGATATTAATTACCTATATGAAATGGTGTTTAAGTGATTCTTGAAGTCCTATTAAATGTAATTAAATGAGCAATAATACTTTGAGACATAATTTTTTAATATTTTTTACCATAAAACAGGGTTAAATTTTACCATTTTGGGGGGAGGGCTTCAGCCCCAAAGCTCCCACCCCCCCGTAAATCCGCCTGTGATAAGAAGGTAAGAAGATAGAAGGTTTCAAAATTGAAATATTTTAAATTTTAAAGAAAAGTATTAATTTTTTTTTTTTTTCACAGATTCATGAA